CGTGAGTGGGAGCCTGAGATGGATAGTCCTGTTTCGTCACTGCCGGCTGATGTTCATGCATGCGGGTCCAGAAAGGTCTCCCAGTTCGACCGCAATAGACGGCATCAAAACTAACACATGGTATTTTGTAGTTAACACCCCTTCTCTCGAGGTCGCCAACCCTGTCCGTGCGTAAGATAGCTGCCAGTTGATGTGCTATTTGTACCTGATGCTTTTCACTTGTCTTTCGACAGGTTCAGATAAATTTTTAACATGTGCGAGTGCTCTTCAGACTGTCGTTTTTAGTGTCTGATCGATCATAGAGTTTGGAATATTTTTTTCTTTTAATTGTTGGCGCTTCATGCATCCATGTAAAAATTCGTGCGAGTGCCCATTTTGGGAAAATAGTTCGAAAAGGTATTTCGTTTCCGCTCGAAACCTTTCTTGCAGGGGCAGTGCGTTTCGGTTTGATCCGGAGGTCTGTAGACAAAACTCCTTTTGGATTGTCTAAGTTCCGCAAATATTCCCATGTTACAATTGAAAAGTCAAGTTGGCGAACGCACGTTTTCGGTACTTCTTCCTCAGGCCAATACAATTACATGAACGAAAGAAAATGTACAAAATCAGCAGTGTTTATAGATGCCTCAAGGGCTATTAAGTCACTAACACTCATCATCTCCACGCCGCCCGCATGAGAAGGTCGGCGGGTGTTAGTCGTCAGAGCTAGGGGAGGGGGGTAAGAGAGTCTTTGAGTAATGTTCTTGGGTTGAGCACACGGAGTACCCATAATCGTGATAAGGGATTTGAGGCGGCATGGCTTCATCACTTGTAAGGGTAGTGTCGTCACTCTCAAAAATGAATGATCCATTTGCCATGAAATGATTTTTTTTCGACGTACAAGGAAATCCAGGAATGGGAGCTATCCATCAGCCACTAGTTCACAAGTGAACTCGATTTCGGAAAATATAGAGCTACGATTTGTATGGAGCAAATTTTACTCATTTTTCTTAACGATGACAAAAGTATCACCCTCAGAGTGCAGCCAGATTTTTGGCTGAACTGTGGGAAGAGCCACAGTTTATGGTCTTTGCACCATCGTCTTCACCAGGAAACCATATATAAGCGAACGCATGTGGATGCACTTTAGTTGCCGATAGCATTGTTTGGAGAAGGAAAGGCACGTTTCCAGTCAGTGATCCGGTAGTTTGAATAAAGCCTTCGCAGGTACCTCGGTGGTGTAGGTTTGAAGGAGTTCTTTCGTGTAGCGTTCCGCTGGATCTAGCGAAACCGATGTGAAGGGCGAGATTGCATCAGATAACAGCATTATCTTGTCAGCTGCAACTCTGATTCCTCCTGATTTGTCTTATTTTTTTTAAGAATATTTTCAATGGCGTTCTTGGAGTCATTTTAAGTGGCTGTTGTTGGTAACATAGCCACTTTGAAATCTTGTGGTTGGGTTCGCCAATCAGCGAGGCTGTCATCGCCGTGGAATACTAGTTTTTACATTTTTGGAAGACCGGCTATTTTGGCAGTGGTTGGTTTATCCTCTTTAAAGGGTTTGGCTAGGTCTTGTGCTGTACGCCACCTCACCCCATAGAGGCGACTGTTGTTTACAGATAGAGAAATGTAGTTGTTAACGTGAGTTCAGGCATAAAAAGCACGATTTGCCCGATAGATATCTGCGAAAAACGGCCGTAATCGGTCTTGAAACAGGGAGAAATGTTACTGACTCAACGGGGGTCTTCCTTCTGTGGCTGACGAAGCGAACGCTAAGAAGGTTTCAGCGTTGTTCTGTTTTATGTGACCGCTTAGCACTGTGCAAAGAATAGCACTGTAGTCTTCGCCAGGAAACCAGATACAAGCGAACCCATATGCACGCCTCTTAGTGGCCGGTAGCATTCTTTGAAGAAGGTAAAGCATGTTTCCAGGCAGCGATCTAGAAGTTGGGGTAAAGCCTTCGCAGGTACCTCGGTGGTGTAGGTTTGAAAGAGTTCTTTGGTGCAGCGTCCCGTTAAATCTAGCGAAACCGAGGTGAAGGGCGAGACTGCATCAGATAACACCATTACCTTGTTAGCTGCAACACTGATTCCTCCTGATTTGTCTGATTTTTTTATATTTTCAATGGAGTTCTCGGAGTTATTTTAAGTGGCTGTTGTTGGTAACATAGCCACTTTGAAGGGTTGTCAACGCCGAGGAATACTAGTTTTTTTGGAAGACGGTCTATTTTGGCAATTGTTGGTTTATCCTCTTTAAAAGGTTTGGCTAGGCCTTGTGCTGTACGCGACCTCACCACATAGAGGCGACTGTTGTCTACAGATAGAGAAATGAAGTTGTTAACGTGAGTTCAGGCATAAAAAGCACAATTTGCTTGATAGGCATCATCAAAAAACTGCCGTAATCGGTCCTGAAATAGGGCGAAATGTTGCTGAGTCAAGGGGGATCTTCCTTCCGTGACTGACAAAGCGGACGCTAGGAACGTTTCAGCGGCTGTTCTGCTTCATGCGACCGCTGAGCACTGTGCAGAGAACAGCAACTTCCTTATAAAGCTGCGTAAACTGGCGGGTTTGATCACAGTAATTGAACTAGACAAAAACATCGTAAATTTGAATGTCCTAAGTGAGTGCCCCATTCAGGGTCTTGATGGCCCGGCCAAAGGTCCCACGTAGTAGTATAAGGACGGGCATAGTTTCACAAAGTGGGCTTATCTTTTGAAGATGTCGAAGCATATGCCTCCTGCCCCAAAAAGCCCGAAGCCGCAAATCATCCATCCTTATATTCTTCAGTCTGACAGGAAGTACATCACAGTCTTTTAGTCATGTATCTACTAATGACTGTTATCTGCCTTAACTGTCATTTAAATTTGTAACTTAGAAAACTTGTGTCGTTTAGAACGGACGCATTCCAATCCAAATCGAGCGTTCTTATTGGTTAGTAATCACGACTTGGACGGTGACTGAGGAAATCTTTACATCGGTGTCCAAAGGCCTTGCTGTCCTCCATGCCTACCAATTTTGAGGAAGAAAATTGCAAACGCCAAGCGCGATGAAGTTTGATTAAGCCAGCCTGAGGGAATCGAATCCCGAAGAAATTGCATGTGACAATGTTAAGCCGCTAATGCACCGCTCAGATGCTCGTTCCTGGTGAGGTTTTGCTTCAGTTAAGTCATGAATTGCGCGTTTGACTCTACTGCTGCTGATGCCGGGACTTTTGATTTGTCATCTTGGAATGATGTTGTAAGTTTTCTTTGACAGAATCCCTACAGTTTAAGAATCTGAAATCCCCTTTGAGAAGCTTCTCGAAAGTGACTGATCTAAGTCACAATTTGGGCGTTCTTTTCCTAACGGGAGGCGGATTAGAGGTAGAGTAGGTAACCCCATTTAATTGCGATCCTTTCACCAGTATAACTCAGCTAGGACGACTTGTAAATACTATTTTTAAATTTCTTGTTTTCATACTAACAGAATCCTTTAACAGGATGAGTTAAAGACAGAAGCTGGTGATCCGGCTAGGGGTTCATTTACCTATCTCACTTATTAGCATTCATGGAAACCGAGAAAAAGAAGACACGAACGTTAGAATGAGAGTTCCATCCGCCAGATGTTTCGAATTTGCATTCGAATACATCATCAGAGTCTGATGCTTCTAGCTAGTACCCGTGCTGGAAGTACTGTAAGTCATTTGGTATTTGCGTTTCACTCCTTTCGATATTTTGCGGATGTACTTGGTGGTCTTTTAAAAAATCAGTTGTTATCTTGAGTCCTCACGCTGAGTATAGTTTGGACGCACTCTACCCATAACCCATAAGAATGCCTCTGGGCAACAAACTTCTCTGACGCGAGCAGTGGACCATGCGTTAGACGGGCTACGCAAGATCCACGCTCGCATATGCAAAAGGCATGTACAGTGAGTGACCGACCCCATGAAATGTTGGCCAAAATTCTGAAATGCGTTTTCGATTAGGAAGGAGTACATAGGTGGCGTTGTTATACTGATGATCCCGCAGCACAATCCTGTGGTATTTTGGATTTGATAGAATGTCGGCTTTTGAATGCACTTCTTTTCAATCTCCTATAGAAACCGTACTCGGTAAAAAAGTGATTATTTAAGTAGCATGCATTTTCCCACTGATTTTCGATAATCTCATAGATTCCAATATATTTTATAAAAAACATGAACAAAAATATTTTTCCTTCCACTCGTTTGATAGAAAATCACGTCAAATACGTATTTTTACTCAAAGTAGTCATATTTTTAGGTTTAAAAAAGTTTTTTGTGAGATTTTTTAAGACTGTGCAGAGTCCATTCGTACAGCACCGTACCTGTCCGGTTACCACTGCTCCTCATGAAATGTACAACATAGTCCGCATCCATTACGAAATTTTATAGATACTATATGGCATCTTTTTAAAAACATAAAAAAATATGCTTTTCTTTAGGTAGAACGCATGCACCTTGTTGACTGAAATCACTAGGCGCTAACGCAACGGCTGATTCGGCTTCAAATTCTTCGATAATTGGAAAACTTTTTTAACACCTTAAACGTACTCCTCCTTTGAGTATAAAATATGAAGTTGACGTGATTCTCTATTAAAAGATTGAAAGAAAGAATATTTTTGTCCACGTTTTTTATAAAATATATTTGAATCAGTTGTTATCTTGAGTCCTCACGGTGAGTATAGTTTGCACGCACTCTGTCGATAACCCACAAAAATGTCTATAATGAACAAGCTTCTCTGACTCGAGCAGTGGACGTGTGTTAGACGGGCCACGCAAGATCCATGCTCGCATATGCAAACGGCAAGAACGCTATATCACAGATAGCCAAACATCGCTGGTCTACTCTAGAGCCCTCGGAGTCACATCCATCGCAATTCAAGGGCAATTCTTGCCCATTAGACAGAAAATTCCTGGCTGTAATAGGATGAGCTTTTGACCAATCAACCAGAAGGCAGTTGAGCAGCAAATCTATTTGGAAATCCAGATGAAAGTGATTAAGCAAACATCGAAATAAAGTGCAAAAGTCACTCGGCGAAGTGCTGGTCAAAACGTTCATCGAAGCTGCCTTCGGCTGTGAACGTCACTGGGACACGATTGCCCGACAGCAGTCCCACGAAGTAGACAACTTTCTCGAAGACGCCATCTTCCCTAAAAAGGGTAAAAAATTTTGTTTTACGTGAAGTACATGGGCATTGAAAAACAGTAAAAGTGTACGGGTAATAATTATGGCAAAAGAGGAAAAAAGCGGAACAACACCTTAGACGACAGAACATCCTAAGCTCCATCTTTGCTTTTGTGGATAACTTTAGGGTGTAGGACCACCAAACAGATGGCATCTGCAAAAATATACCTTACAAGTCAATGTGACTGTAGATATCACTAATTATTCACCGTTCCCATTGTTTGAAATTTCCTTCCCTTCCTCACTAAATGTAAACCCACTAGTGGCGCTCTATTCAAAGTCAGTTATTTTTTAATAAAATCGCTAATCTCATACCCCTACAACAAAAACGAAATCTAGTCCGATATTTGGCACAAATAACTAGAACAATTTGCTCAAGAGATAGCATAGAGGAGGAACGTAGAAAAATCCATAACTTCCTTCGTGAAAACGGGTACCCGGACAGGTTTATTTCAAAGAATATGACCGAATGACCGGTAAAACCCGTCACACCGACTGCCGAAAAGAAAACTCTGTTCCTTAAAGACCCTTTTCAAGGGACGCTGCAAGTGAACTCCTAAAGAGGCGCCTTGATCAAGCTGTTTCGCGAACGCTCCCATCGGCAAGGGTTCAAGTGTCCTTCTTTACTGACCCTATTTTACGCGGAGAAGGTAAGAATAAGGGTTAGATCGCAGTTGTTAGCCAGGAATGGGGAAGCGGACGGCGACCTTAACCCCTCATCCTAACCTTAACCCTAACCCCAACCTTAAAAGTTAACCGTTAACCCTAACGGCAACTCTAACACTAATCCTAACCGAAATCATAAACGTAAATGCAGCCCTTAGACATAGCCGTAACTGAAAAACCTAATCGTAATACTGACACCTAATCGTACGCTCGAACCCTAACCGTAACCCGAAAATCTAAGCCTAAAGACATAACTCTAACCCGAAAATCGGAAACCATTAACCGATACTCTAATCCTACCCTCAAACGGAAAACGGAAGCCAAATGGGTCAGATGTGATTATGGAGCCCCACAAAATTGCCCCAGTTAATAACCCCCCCCCCAGCCACCTGCAATACGGGGCCTGACTACCAACTGCGATCTAGCCAGGATTAAGTTGCCACCCCAGACCACTTCAGTGTGCATCTATTCATTCACTTGCTCCTCTGGGCAGGCTATATTGGTCGCACGAGTCGGCGCTTATCCATGAGAATACAGGAACACCTCCCGGCATGGCTGGGAAAAGGCGACATTTGAAGCATAAGCAGCGCCATTCTCGCGCATGTTGTCGATTCCGGACATCATGTAGACCCTAATGATCTATAAGGTCCCATCGAGCTATCCTAAACCACTGGGACAGCGCCTGTCAGCAACAGCAGAGGCGGCCGCCATCAGTTTGCGAAAACCAATCTTATGCGCACTGAAGAACCACGTTCAGGCTCCGCGCCAACAGTGGCCGAAGGTCGACTAACGCTGCAACCTCTCCGCGCCCTTCCGCTCTCACCCGGCCCTGACAGTGACTGCCATAACCCCTCCCCTTTACCCCACAGTCCCACACCCGGCGAGTTTTAATCGATTTACCTTATCACTGACGTGTTTTTACTTCTACCCCCGACGCGAATTTATCGACAGCTACGTATGCTCGCCACCTCGTCTTCTGATTACTTTTTAAATTATTGTGTTCACTTTCTTTGCCAAATGACAGCGTACGGCAAGACTTTCGGCAGAAATTTACCTATTTTCTGCGTCTTCTTGCTCTCCGTCCTGTGTGCTGGTCCACCCGTAAAACCCCCTCTACCACCATTCAACGTATGACGCGGTCCACAGGCTAGCCCCAGTTACTTGCGGGTCCTACACCCAATCGTCGCCCTTTTGTACTTTTCGTTTTTGTTTGAATACACAGCGCAAATTTATCCAAACAGTTTACTCGAAAAGGACAATCATTTACTTATTTCACATTCGAGCGTTCAGCGGCTGTAATTAAGAGAAATCGATAAAAACTGAAAGGAAACCTCTATAAATCTGCTGGCTGCTTATGACCCGGCGTTTAGATCAAGTTAGACATGAATCGAAAAATACAACTACACTGAGTGAACACTATCTTCTTTCCACTTGAAGTGAAGTACCCCTAATGCAGCGGTCTGCACAAGAAGGACTCACTTTGGTGCAAAAGTTACTTCTAGTCTTGTTATATCTTTCCTCTTGATATCACCGGCTGCTTCTAAGAAACCCGACTTCGTTGTGAAAATGAAGGCTTCCGAGGCATCCGCGACCGCCTGGAGATTACTGCCCATTAGCTGTGAAGAGCTTACAGTAGCGACTGAGCGACTTTGGGTCAGATCTGCAGTCCCGTCGCTGTCGGAGGCAGAAGCGCAAGGTTCGGAACTCTCCGAGGGGGAAGTAGACGAACAGGCTAACGGAAATAAGCCCGGTTCGTTCAGACTTCCCAGACTCGGCTTGTAGAGAACTAAAAAAAGTGTAGGAAAGAAAGTACGATGGAAGCGGAGAGGCAAGTGACAGTTCAGAAGAATAAAATGGGATCACTGATTCAAGAGGCCTAGCGGCCTGCCGTTTCGGACTCTCACTGCAACCCATAATCAGGGACAGTCGCAGCACAAAAGGTGCAGTTGCCACGGGATCCCATGCCTGCTGTAATTGGCAGTTCCCACATTCATCGATTGTTTGTTAGTCCGCACATGAGTAAGTAGTGGCCGAGATAAAATTACCACTATGGATTCTTCGCATGATAATTACTTGGCCATTTTTTCTCGCTGTTACTGGAATATTCAGTCATCAGCGTCATCACCGTATGGTTAATTATTCTGCCCAGACGAAGTCTTAGCACAGAATATGGGGCCGGGTGGTCACTGCGCTTGCTGATCGGATGGGGGCCGGAATATTATGACTCAAGCAGCTGGCGGATCACGCGACTGTCGTCTCTTGTGAGACCCACCACCACCACCACCACCACCACCACCACCACCACCACCACCACCACCACCACCACCACCATTTTCTGCGATTGTCTTTGATTATAGGTTTGAGTGAGAACCCGGAATGACAGGCCAATAGACCTCCTGTTCCAGCGATTGAGCCTCCTTCTCCTTCCTCTTCTTCTAAAGAGAGTGTGGCTGATTGCATTTTTAAGCATACTATTCTAGCTAGAGTATTTATTGGAAGGCATAGAACACAGATGGCAAAAATACAAAGCTAAAAGAATCAGGAGAAACATGAAAATGTCTACATCATCGGCCATTCAGAGTACTTCCTCTGTCACTGCTGTTGTCTCCGTAACTACCAGTACAACAACAACACCTACTTCTAATATTGCTACCACCACCACCACTACTACTACTACTACTACTACTACTACTGCCATCGTCAGAATTACTACAACTTCAAAAACCGTTAATATTTTTCCTACTACTGCTACCATTACTGCTGCTGATACTACTTTCACTATTACTAACTGCAATCTTACTATTACAACTACGTTCCTAGAACTATTATTATCGTAATTGTCGCCTATACTAATAATAACAATCGACGCTAGTAGTATTGTTGGTTGGTGTCACAAGTAAAGGATTACCACCCCTTCACTCTTGTCTGATCTTGTCTTTTAACCGGAAGATAGTGACACAAAAGCAGATCGACTCTTTAGCGATCTAAGGTGAGAAGGGTCACTAGGCGAGAATTAGCCCACATTTTGCGACTCGAAGCGTAGCCTAAACAAAACCACCCAGCGACGCACCAGAGGAAACCTCCTCCAGCACCCAGACTTCTCTCGAGGGCCCATGGTTGGCCAGACGGACAAAAAGGGTGGAAGTCTGCCTAACGAAGGTTACGCGGCCCTGAATGACAGCAGGCGAGAGCAGTTCCAGTCTCGGCATCTTCATGACAGCAGAGATGCGCAGAGGAGAACAGTGGAGGACGGGACTGGCATTTTCTAGGACAACAGCCTCCCGGCTACACCGCATTTCGTTGGGATTGCAAACTCGAAGTTGCAGACTGCCAAACCACATGCGCTGGTAGTTTTTGTTAAACTAAAGGAAGAATTCGGAAGTTAAGGTTACAGTCGGAACTCCAAGCAGGTTGTGAAGTACGAAATGGTGGCTCAGGAAGACAGGCCGCCTGTGTAAAAATGAGCAAACAGTTCCAACCAAAGGCTTCAAACCGACAGAAGCATGCTGTAACAAGGGAGAAGTGGCCCAGGACGAGGTCTTCACGAAGTTTCATGCCAGCAGAAGTATCCTACTGATTGCACTTCTATAGGACCTCTCAACTTTTTTGTAAGAAACACACCGAACTAGAGGCTCGGGGAATTCTCGAGGTCTCTTGTTGACATGATCATTTCCAACTAGTAGATCAGACATAGATCTGACGTAAGTTCCTTTTGGCCTGACATCGGGGAGGGAAGCAGTGGATGTCGTCCGTAGAATGTGGCTGAGTACTTCGTGGCATGATCTTAACGACGTGAGAACTAACAACGCGCTGTCCAATCAGACACCCAGAGCTCAGCGGTAAATTTGGGTTCAGCCGCTGCATTCAATAAGATTAACTCCAAGACGAATAAGGCATACAGTAAAGCAGAAATTCATCGAACGCAAAGCGGAAAAGGGTGGATCGACTAGTCACTCGTATCAAATGAAGTACCTCGAAAAAACGTAATGCCTTAATTTCGCATTTACTTTTGCATATAGATCAACAGGATGAAAAACTTGTAAGCGACGTAGCAGGGAGAATAAGTAGCGTTTACCAAGCTTTCTTGCGCATCGACATTCTGATTTCCGGCTTCCCTTCCTAGCCCAGTCAGATCCTTCCGGTTGAAGACGAATCCAAACTGAATCTGCCAAAAAACAGCGCGAATGCGGTAAAAGTCGACAGATCTTCTATTAAGACATAAAAGCTCCTATCAAGAAAGAATTTCACTTGCAAAGGTTTCATAGAATAGTAAAATATAAAATTCGCGCATAATGCCAGTCACCCAATGGGATTTCCTTGGCGTTTCTGAGAGACAACAGAGGAACGATATTCAGCCGGGAATCGCAAAACAGAAGAGTCAATGACTAAAGTTAGGAAATGCCGTCCGGCAACAGTTTTGCAATTAAATGACGCCTCTTCTTTCATTATCAAGACGACGACTATGTTTTGTCTGAGTCAGATTTCTTCGTCTGTAAGACGGTCCGACAAGAATTCCTTTCCTATTTCTTCTTCGATGGTTTCTTCCCTGAATTTCCGGTGAAAGAATACAACCAACAGAACGAGACTCGGAAATTGAACAAGCAGGTGGAAATGCAGGCTTACGAGCTCGATCAGGCGGGACTGATGGCCAGACTTTGTTGAAGTCAATTTAGGACCAATGCCCAGAGCACCATTCTGACACTTCTAAGCTGGTGTAGGATTACTGAAGACTGATAGGATGCATAGTTTGGGGTAACTTTTCTCCCATCGATATGACACCTACGGTTCTAATTTAAACGAAACCAGACCCACTTTCAAATTGTAAAGGCGCACTAATAGTTGTGACGTGGAGTATTTACAACGGGGAAGGGAACGTATAGATCTTCCTTTGGAAAGAAAGTCGGCATTCAATGGCTCCTTTTTAACGTGACTCTTATGGTACGCGCCCACTCATTTGAGATTGGAGACCTCCTCACACTCTTCTTTTTGCAAGAAAGCTCAGTGTGAATGCCGGCTGATATTTCATGTTCGATAGCTCGTTTCCGATCTACTACAGTACCTTCAGCAAGAGAGTTAGCAATTCTTTTCCTTGAAATCCCGCTGACAGAATGTAATATCCTGGGACCGAGAGCAAGGGCAAGACTTGAAAATCGAATAGGCACTTCTAGGTGTCCGTCTAGGATCTCGATCAAGCAAGACTGCTAGTCAACTTTCAGACTTTGTTGGAGTTAGGTTAGGAGCCTATGACGTACTGATGATAGGTAACGCCCGCGAAACAGCTGTCTGCGTCTCGCCTGTTGCACTGTCAGTGAGCTGCTCACGCATTAGGAGCACACGTGACATACCCCGACACAGTTAAACTGGTATCGCATTACCGACGACCGGTGAGATGCGTAACTTGCGGCAACTTTTCTCTCACCGATTTAGCACAATTGTTTTTCACTGGTACAAAGATTAAATGCTTTTAAATTACTAAGACGCGTTATACAGCAGGAGGGCTAACTCATGAAATGTCAACCGAAATTCCGAAACGCGTTTTCGCTTCGAAAAGATTAATTAAGTAGGGTTGTAGAACTAGTCATTCTGAAAACATAATTCTAATAATGTTTCAGTCATCTCAGGATGCCGACTTTTGAACGAACTTCCGTCCGGCTGTATGCAAAAACTACACCGTAAAAATGACTACTTAAGTAGCATGCATTTTTCTCATTGATTTTCGATTCTCTAAAAGTCCAATTATATTTCGTGGAAAATATGCATAAAAATATTCATTCTTTCGCTCATGCGGCAGAAAATTATGTTTTCTAATTTGATAGTCGAAAGAGGGACATAATTCGGTTTTAAAGATGTTTCTTACTGTGGGATTTTTCAATACCGTGAAATGACCGTTCACAAATCGCAATATCTCTGCATTTACCAATGTGGCTTGTAAATGTAACAGTATGGATCAAATTCACTGCCAAATTTTATGAACCCCATATGGTCTCCCTTTAGTTCTTTAGAGAAATGTGTGGTTTTCCGCATGCGGAAAATATACGGCTTGTAGTTTGGAAACCCTGAATCCAAGTGTAACGGTAGAGCGGGTTCAAAATTATTCGGGAACTGTAAAAGTTTTTGAAAAACAAATTATATCCTTCCTTCGCGTATAAAGGCGAAAGAAGACGTAATTTTCTACCGAATGAGCAAAAGATTAAATATTTTCAGTGCATGCTTTCCATGAAATATAATTGGACTTTTAGAGGCGGCGAAAATCAATGAGAAAAAATCCTGTTACTTAAGTTGTAATTTTTTACAAAGTGTGGATTTTGCATGCAGCCGGAAGGAAGTTCTTTCGAAGGCCAGCATCCTGAGATAACTGAATTATGTTGCAGGCTGACTAGTTCTTATCCCTACATAATTAATCTTTTCGAAACGAAAAGGTAATGCGGAATCTCGGTTGACATTTAATGAGTTAGTCCACCTACTCTATATCGGACATAAAGGAATTCCGACTGAAGGGGATAGATAGATCTTCCTCTGGAACGAAAGCAAGACCACAGCGACTCGTTTTGATGTAGCCTAATGCGTGATCTGGAACACCCATCCTCTGAAGCCTGGTTCACGTGGGGTTAGGGATCGGCACGCGTGTTGTACGCGTAGACGTTTCGATTGGACATAGAAATATGAACCCCCCGGTATCGCGGGCGGCGTTACCCTAAATTCCAGGATGGGGGGGTCAGGGTAAGGGTTATGGTTAGGGCTATGAGGCTTATGATTAATGGTAGGGTTAAAGTTAGGACACAGATATAGATGCCCCTTTTGGATGTTTTGGCAGATTTTGAATAATTCATGTTTGGAATTTAGCTCAAGGCCGCCTGTAGTAAGGAGGTCAATAGTCTCATGCCCGTCTCAGCAGGAAATGCCGGTCCTCGTCGAATATGATAGGAAGACTACAAATCAGCCTACTTAACAATTACTATTTGCCAGAGTCCACTTTTTAACTTTTGCTGGGGTCGTTGAGACGAGGAAGGGCAAAAGCTTATCCTCCCTGGAATTTGTTTGAACAGCATACTATTCAGTCTAGAATGATTTCTGGTTTTACGGCTGGTGCAAAAAAAGATTAAGAAGGAAGGTGCCTGCCAACAAGGCAGAAGCGTTTGCTTTTATCAACCACGCTGCCTACGCGAACTTCGGTCTGGTCATCAGCACGCAGAAAACGGTGGTCGTTCACCAACCGCCAACTAACACAGCTGCTCCCCACAATGCGCCGCAAAGCAGCGTGAACGGAACCCAACTGCAAGTGGTGGACAACTTCACGTATCTGGGCAGCACCCTCCCCCTCACAGCACCAGAATCGATGACGAAGTGGCCGACCGGATTTCCAAGGCCAGGCAAGCCTTTGGTCGTCTTCAAAACACAGTTTGGAATCATCATGGTCTTCAGCTCAGCACGAAACGGAAGATTTATAAGGCCGTCAACCTCCCGACGTTGCTGTATGGAGCAGAGACTTAGACGGTGTATATGAAGCGGGTGCGAAGACTTAACCACTTCCACCTCAGCTGTCTCCCACGGATACTGAGGCTGAGGTGGCAGGACCGAATCCTCGAACCAACGTACTGGAGCGGACGGGAATCCTCAGCATTTACACCATACTGAGACAACTTCAGCTGCATTGGGGTAGCAACCTCGAGCGGATGGACGACGAGCGACTACCCAAACAACTCTTCTATGGAGAAGTCGCTACGGGTTCCCGCCGCCAAGGAGGCCGAATCCGTCGATAAAAGGACACTCTGAAGTCCTCCCTCAAGCGTCTGCAGATCAACTCAACCAACTGGGAAGACATCGCTCGCCGACCTGAAGGTGGACAGTGCAGACAGACGGAGCGATCTACGAGGCCAACCACATTGCTGTCGCGAAAGACAAACAAGAAGAACGCAACTCTTAGCTGAGTTCACCTCGCGAGGCCAACGCACAACCGCCTCCAACGTGTACTCGGTGTCAACGGACATTGCAGACGTCAACTGCACTTGTTACACACCTTCGGATCAACCGCAGCACTCGGACTGCATTAACCGTCGTCTCTTCGTCAGCCTCTCCCTCGTCCTCTACTCAGCCAACTAATTCTGACCGCCATTCGGAACCACTACCTCCATCCTTCTCCCCTCCTCCTCCTCCTCCTCCTCCTCCTCTTCCTCCTCCCCTTCTCCTCTTCTTCTTCTTCTTCTTCATCTACTTCTTCTTCTTTTTCCTCCTCTTCCTCCTCCACTGCCCCAACGTCTGCCGTTGTAGCGTCTGCCATGCACATCAATAAACACTCGCACAACAGTCGCCGACACCAGAGGTGAGGACCTGGACTACACCTGTACTCACTGCGATCGCACCTTCACCTCGCACATCGGTCTGGTCGGTCACGTAAGAATCCATTGCACAGAGACTGGCGAACCAGTGCGTGGAACACCAACCTACGTCCGATGCACCCGCCTTGCACATTCGTGCATCTCATGCGCCTATTCAGCCAAATGTCTATCCCTGAGAGCGGAATTGACCGCAGTCCCGACACACCCAGCACACCCGCCATGCATAGCCCCTCCCTCACTCCGTCGCCCTGTGCGCCCACCGTCACCAGCTGCACACTGCACACCCAGCACGCTCAGCCTCACCCACACCCTGTTGCTCAGTGCGTCCATCACCACCATCATATCCGTAACAGACACCGACACCACCGACTTCTCGTGTCCATAACTGTCCCCGCACCTTCACCTCACGCACCGCCCTGGTCGGTAACTTGTGAATCCATCGCACAGAGACCGGTGAACCAGTGTCTGAAGCATCAACCTACACCCGTCGCATCCGCCTCCACTATCCACACTGTCCTCGCGCATCCATGCACCGCATGGACCTATTCGGCCATATGCGTATCCACGAAAACCTGTGGTAGACAACCGCCGGCTGAACCACACCATCACATCCTCCCTAAGCACCATCTTCTCGCAACTCAGCATCACTTGTCACAAACATCCAGTTGTCCCCTACTGCGCAAGTGGGAAGTGTGCGTCTCGACTCGGTCTCCTTACGGCTCCTATTGCATGGGTGGATCGAGCCTGAGTCTACCCCGGCGCGTCAAGCTGGAAGGCTGCTGACTGACGCCCCAACTCAATCCACGCAGCCCGTCCAGTTGTGTGTGCGTCTGTGTATGTTTGGAGTGGTGGATTGGTGGGCTGAGAGCCAGGCTGAAACGACTTCTTCTCAACATGACCTACGGCACTCTCATGCATGTGAGATGTGCGCCGCTCAAACCCCGTTGTGTGGAATTGCGGTGCTTGTGTTTAGGGGGCCAGGTCATGCATGTGGCGCATGCAGGCAAGATCATTAGACTATGGTAGGGGGCGCTCACCGATCGTTGTTACGGAACTCACTCGTTCCGTTGTGCCTTACGGGCTTGCTCTCGAGCCCAACCAGCAGCCGCACGGCCACTGAGCGGGTGCTGGTTGTGCTCGAGATAGAGCCCGTAAGGCACAACGGAACGAGCCAGTTCCACAAGACAGATCGGAGAACGCCCCTCTATCATTGTATATTCACGATCGCAACTGACAGAGCAACGAGCCGGTGGCTCAGTGGTTAGAGACGTTGGACTTCTAACTAACAAGTCGCGAGTTCGAGCCTCAGGTGTTTCACACTTCGGGTTTGGGCGCGACTGGCTTACGACGGCTTATAAGCCAGAAATGACCAGTCCAATCTCCCTGGTCTTTGTCGGTAATAACATAATGTATGTTTATGTATATATATAAATTTAACATTAACGAGGTCACACTAGACTATATCAGCCACTGCGCCCATTCCTAGCACCAGTCAACGGGCCGGCGTGGACAGTGGCTGGGACATGGGTATTGGATGGGAGAGTTAGGTTGACGACTCAGGGCATTTTCCTCCCTATAGAGAATCTGACGCGCTAAAAGCCATGGCCTGGAAGGTTGCCAACTGACGGGATACCTTGGACCTCGCAGTCGGCCCAGTGCTGTGCTTTTGTGTAGAGTGGCCGGCTGGTGGTCTGATAGTCAGGCTGCAATGGCTGCTTCTTAATATGACCTTAATGGCACTCCCACTGCCTGGGATCCGAGCCGGGTCTGGCGGCACGCCTAGGTGTGGCTTCAGTCGTGCCGGCCTCCATTCTCTTTATTGTTGGTCAAAAAGCTGGTCATTTGTTGTGTGGACCAAGGGGTGTGGGGTGGAGCACCAAGGTGCGGGCTCGATCGTGCCATCCACATGCGCCCTCGCCCGTCTCGGTCTTCTTGACTCTGTCTTGACACTGGCCCAGTTTGGGGGGAGGAGGAGAGGGCGTGGTAGACACAGTGGAAGTCTGCTATCACTATAGGTTAATTCACACACAAGCCACCATCTCTGCTTCGCCACCTTGCTTTGGAGCACACGGTGAACATCGTAGACAACGCAGTCGAACTGTCGTCTGTGGATCACTTGGACGCGTGACCTCAAAATGCGTCCGAGATGACAACTTGGCAGACTTAGGGGGAAAAGACTACCAGTTAGAAATTGAGGTCCGGCCCCTGCACCCTAAGATACGCTCAGCAGGCATTTTTCTCAATGAAAAGAAGTCTAAAGTTGTGCAACCGTTTTAGGATGAGGCAAGGGAATAGGACCCTCCCCTTCGTCGGGTAATTCGGATGGCCTTAAGCAAGATTTTCAGGAAGGGCAAATATTTCCGTGTCCTAACTTTAACCCAACACTTACCCTAACCCTAAATTTAATCCTACCCATAATCTTTACCCGAACCTGCCCTCCATGAAAATTGATTTTTGACTTAATCTGTCTGCAGAAACAGTGAAAAATGGAAGTAGTATAATTCAGCCAAGAAATATGAAACAATTCAGTATGTGTCGTAATTCGTAGAACGCGAGGGTTGAAATCTCTGTGATAATCTCAGAGAACCTTAAACGTTGCGTGTTTTATTCACTAGCCTAAAATGTTCCGGAAAAACCTTTTTCTCCAGCATAATATGTTTCCAAATGGTTTCATTAGGGCTGAAATTCACAAATTTCGGTAGAAATCAACCTTGCTTTATATTTAGGCAACTTCATATATCAATAACTGTCCTAGACAATCTCGGTGCATGGGAAAGATAGGGTTTAGAACCCAGCTACCTTAAGCTAGCCTGTGCGCTGTGTCATACGTTGAATGGTGGAAGAAGGGGTTTTACGGGTGGGGCAACACACAGGACGGAGTGCAAGAAGACACGGAAAATAGATACATTTTCGTCAAAAGTCTAACCGCACGCGGTCATTTGGCAAAGAAAGTGGACACGATAATTGCAAAATCAACAAAAATCGATTTTCAAAAAATTGCGGACTTTGAACAAGGCGTCGCTGGAAAGTGTACAATTAATCAGGAGGGAAAGGAAATCTCAAACAATGGGAACGATGAGTAATGAGTGACGTTTACAGACACACTGAATTTAAGGGTATGTATTTGTAGTTGCCATCTACTTGGTAGTCCAACATCCCATCGTTATCCAGTGCATAACCCTGTTTTTTTCTTTTAGAAGGTATCAGTGTAAACGTGAATAACTTACTAAACTAACATTCGCCGACTTGAGAATCGATTTTTTGATCCGCACAAAAGCGGTGAGGCAGGGTGTGAAAAAGCATTTCATTTCCAAAAAATAAATTTATTCCTAAAATTCGGATTTGCAAACGTGCATAATTCCATGCATATACTTCTGGATTTTTAGAGTGGATGATCGTTTAAGAATGTGTCTAACTAGCCGAAAATAAGCCAAAAACTTTTGGCCTAGTGACCAGTTATGGCAGTGCAAATTAAAGTCGAGATTATTGATCGACTAGGCAAGCCTTGGGGAAACTAGACATGAAAGGAGGCCTTGGTACAAAAAGAGACTCACTACTAACCAATTTTTTGCAGCCTGGCTCCAGCACGAATTCGCAGGATGGGTGGTTCAGTCGAGGCCATCGCGATTGGTCAGTCATGATCAGGCGCACATGTCGATTATCGCTCAGCCGGGGAAGGCCGGTTTGCGTGCCATCCTCAAAAAGGAAGAAGTTTGGCGCCTGAATATTGGCCTGAACGCCAAGTGCCAGCGAGCCCCGGTTGGTAATTCGGAGACCACGCACACAGACTAGACACTCGGCCAAATGGGGCCCCTCCACGGGGCTGGACGTCGAGGAGCGGTGTCTCGTGTCAAGGCGACTGCGAGGTCCGCGCGCGATCTCCAGCGGATGGAAGGCGATTTCCGTTTTTCCAACGTCTGCAAGCGATGTTCTGGTGCTGCACACACCTTTGGTGCTTGCTAGAGCCGACTGTATTTCCGTTTCTGTCACTAAGAATGAGTGCATAAAGGCGGGAAGTTGTATTTCCTGTGAGGCGGAGTTAGTCTTGCGGTCCGATGTGAGCATTTCGCCTGCATCCAGGTTCATTTGGCAACCGTTTTCGTCCACGAATTCGAGATCAAGTCTGTGCATGTAAAAAACATGATTATTACTTTGGTGATGAGAGTTATAGCCACCAGCGTCACCACCACCACCACCACCACCACCACCACCACCACCACCACCACCACCACCACCACCACCCCCATCAACATCATCATCATGGCACTGAAGGGCTGTCTAGCACACTGCAACATAGGTGCGGTGAGGGTTATGTACATGTGTGGGGTAAGCAAAAACTATGGAGAGCTGCCTAAAATATTTTTGAAAATAGGTGTTTTTCGGTATAGGTTTTGGTCGGCCATTCGTTAGCAGGATGAACTTTGATTACCTGTACCTCCCCAAGGAGTCGGTGCCTGCTGAAATGTCTACATCGGTCCACTGTTCTGTATCCACCACACGTAATTCTTTACTAACAGGAAAGCTCGTTGTTAAAAAAAGTTCGGCACGGAAACCAGTCAGGTAGCAAAAAAATACTCTAAATATTGTCAGATGGAGTGCATACGTCTGCTTGTAAAGCAAGAGTACTAAAACGCTGCTGAATTTGTTAGACAACTGTTAACATTTTCTTGCCCCACGCATATAATTTAGCTTTGCTGCAAGTCCTCCCTAGGTCTTCCACCTAAATTCGCCCTGGTTAGAATAACTAAGAAAGCTCGAACTGACATAGCAAAACCTACTATCCTCTATTACTAACCGCATCCGATATTTACCAAAACGTAATTTCGTTGTACGCATTCCCCGTGTCACGGTAGGCAGGCGTCCTTTCGGACGATTCCGATTTTTCGGAGCCTGTGCTTTGACTGACCTATCACTATTCTTGACCAGAGAAGTCAGGCACAGTACCATACAAATGATCCTTCGACCACAGTTTGTAGGATAACTCAGACATAAAGCGCCAACCACGCACAGTAAGTCCTTTCCAGGGTTTCGGAAGCAAAAAACATTTGTCAGAACCGCCACAGTGGCCAAACAGACGTACTTAGGTTGTTGTAGACCCGTGGTCAGGGTGAGTCGCAGGTGAGGCGAAATGAAGGCCTCAGGACGCAGAACTCGCGTTCCAGCCGCGTTGTCCTCCTCGATGGTGAGATAGCCCAGCGCGAAGGCCCTCACCTGAACATCGCCTGTTACGGCGGCCGCCGCCGCCGCGCGTCCGTTGAGTTTGACGGTCAGTACAGCCTCAGCGCCAGGTGCCACGAGCAGCTGCCAGGGTTCGATAGTCAGGAGTCCCGACAGACCGCCTGCCTCGGGCACCTCACTGGTCATTGCCCAAGGTGACTTGCCCACCAACTGTCCCTCGTGTGGACGCAAAATCAGCCGGATTGGCCCAAATTCCCCGACCTCGCAACGAGGAGCTTACAGGGGGTGGAGAGCGAGGGAAGAGAGTAACAGTTAAGGTAGTGAAATCAGTAGAAGAGGCCCACTGAATGCGTGTATACAATTTGGAGACAGGAAGATGAGGAAGTGGTCACCGCATGAAAGTATTGAGGCTGAATTTGTACATGGCTGGTATTGCAATGTAGGGCCAAGGTGAACTTTTAAAGACAATTTGATGATATGTGGTGGTTCCTTCTCTAAGGAGGCGGAGGAGGAGGACCTGCGGTCTCTGGAACAAGACATTTTGTTCGCCTGACGTGTTTCGAAGCTGCCCTCGAAGCCATCATCAGAGACGACATCAGGTAGGGGAAAAATGTCTCATATCACCAGGAAATTACAGCCTGTACTAAACGTCAGTGGTGGTAACGAATACAATTTTTCTTATTCCGCAGGAAGAGGTCTCAGACTGAAAGATGTGCTTAACTGTCGAGTTGAAGCGATCCGGACTGACCCTCCTCTTCATTACAGGCGACCTTGCTTTAAATTCGAAGAGGGGGGATTAGAGTTAGGCTTGGAGTTGGGAGGGCTAGGGTTAGGTCTAGGTTCATGAGAGCTAGAGTTAGTGTTAGCGCAAGTATTGGGGTTAGGACACGGGAAGAGGAACTCCTCCGGAACTTGGCGCGAGACTACATGTAGTACCAGGAGTGGGGGCATATCCTCGTGTTCGACATGCCGCCATAGCTCAGTCGGCAGGAAATGCAGCGCTAAGTCATGAGGTCGGAGTTTCGAGCCCCTACAAGTTTTATGACGGCGCTATTAGGATATAAAGTCCACTGAATGCATGCGTGCGTTCTGGAGACAGGAGGATGAGGAAGTGGACGTCGCATGTAAACTTTGAAAGTGGTTTTGTACAAGGTTAGGATTGCAATGCAACTTCAAGATAAATGGTTATGGACGACCTGGCGACATGTGGTAGTGCTAGTTAGCTGTATGGAGGAAGTGCAGTCGATGAAACGAGAATTTTTGTTTGCTGACGTGTTTTGGGTTCACACTCGAACCCATCATCATAGAACGGCATTAGGTAGGTGAGAGATGCCTCAGATCATCAGGAAATTACAGACTACACTAAATGTTGGGAGTAGTAACGAGTACAGTCACTTTTTCTTTTCCATATTTCAAATTTTTGGTAAGGTGCGGTTATGTAGCCCACCTGATGGACACAATACTGTTGGAGTTGGGTTAGGACAACTATTTCTCAACCACTCAAAATACAACCGCGCATTCCCAATAGCCTTTCTTTTGCATACAATTACTTGACCTCGCCGCCTGTGCATTCCCCGGCCCCACCTGTAAAAACCCCTATTACCACCGGTCCCGTATTACAGGTTGCTGGGGTTTGTGTACTCCAGGTGGGGCTACATAACCACTCCTGACCAGACTTTTTACAGGAAGAGCTCTCAGTCTGAAAAATAGGCTTGACTATCGCGTTGGAACAAAAGCTGTATTACGTAGTTGGTTAGGCGTGTCCCCATATGGACGCCCTTGCTCTAAATCCCAAGGGGGAGGTTAGAGCTAGGGTTGGACTTAGGTTTATGAGAGTTAGGGTTAGCGTTAGAGCAAGTGTTGGGGTTGGTATTAAAGCCAGGACATGGGAAAATGAACTCCCCTGTAGTACTGGGGCTGGGGGTGTCATATTCCCGTATCCTACCCCTTAATTTGTATAGCTGGCAGACGTGCTGCCACAGCTCAGTCGGTGCGAAATGCAGCGCCAAGTCATGAGGTCAGAGTTTCGATCTCCTATAAGCTTTTTGACGGTGCTATTTCCCCCACTGCACTTAATCCGTCTTACCTAAACTGACTGCGGCTGTTGGACAAGTTGCAGCTGACAACAAAAACAATGAGTATGCAGGATGGGCATTAACCTACGTGATCTCTCCTCTCCACAACCCTCGGCAGCTGAGGATGGGGTCCTACTCTGGGCCGGTCTGAAGGCCTCACCGAAGAGAGCGCAGAGATCGAGTAACTTGGAGTCCTCCTTGTCTGGTCGGCTGCGATAGAGCTGCCAGTCGATGCGCACATCTGAAATGTTTGGGCATGGAAGGAAAAATATGTGAGACAGGCGCTCAGGTATTTGATTTGGCCTACGTGTCCTGTTTCTCCATTGGTCAGAGTGCAAACGATTTACACAGACAATTCCCTCTAAGGGACTGAATGCGGCCTGTTTAGCAAAGCCAGCCCCGAAGCAAGGGACGATGTCTGAGAATGGACTAGTGAATAAATTGGCGGATTTTTTGAACAGTTAAGTCTGCTGTCCATTGCCAAAGTCTGTACTGCACAGTGAAGCCAAATGGAATTTTCAGTGTCCTCTCGATGTAGTCGACCTTGTTCCCCTTGGTTTTGTATTTTATTTTTGTTGTCTTAATCGGTTACTGCTACTCCGTTGGTATGATGGTGATATAGATTGCTCATTGCGTCGAAGGCTGGTGGAATGGTTTTTATGTCAGATGGCTCGATAGGTCTGGTCGCTTGCTATCGATCTAATTTGCGCTCATGTAAAGTTCAACACGGGCTTCAGATTCTGGTGTCAGCGAGGGTAATGGCAGGTCGGGTAAACTGGAGGCGGTTTAGTGCGCCGATCTATTAAACCGATATGTGTAAACTATCTCTCATGTAGGCCGTTTGGTCTCCAAACCGCCTCGGCCCAATAAAGTATGTCCTCGGAAGTCGAAGGATTACTACCTATGCAGTGTACACCGGAGGTCGGGAGTTTGGATATGGTCTCGAAACTGCCAGTTGGTGTTTGTGTGGGCAAATACAGAGTAATCGGAAAAAGACAGTGAGTTTTTCAGTTACATTACACAATGTTAAAACTTAGTCAGGTCTACACGGAGGGGGGCGTAAAAGTTTAGCGAATTCCACGAAGACCCATTTGATACAACGTATGACCCTACAGACTTCGGGTGGTCCTTTCTTTGACCAACTGAAAATCCATGCGATGATTTTTCATTCGACGGCATTATTTTACTTTCCGCTCACACCAAAGAGGTAAGAATTTACTCTTTGCTTGCAGACTTTCTGAATGGGTGGTATCCTACTGAGGCGCTCTTACTGATGAGATAATTGTGAGAACGATAAAGCGTTCCATTGACTGCCATCAAGTCGGTTGAGATAGGATTTAGTCCCAAATCGTTTGTACGTCATATGCAGCCAATCGCTGCCAGCGAGTAGCTTGTCTTGATGTTAACCTACTTCAGCTGGTCACTGACCCCCTCCTCTAGATTTTACTGCAAGAACTAAACCATAATAAATCGAAGAGGATCCACTGCACCGAGCACTGTGGCTGGCAAAGAATTTCCGTTATCTTTGGAGAAAATGATTCATATAGGAGTTTTGTTCTAGATTATCCGTGGAAACGATAATTAGAGTCCAGAAACCTCTGGAGCAAACTAAACTACTTTTAATGACAATAACAACTCTAACTCTTGCGGGCAATTGAAATAAAAATCTCTTGACTGCGGCCTCCATGGCTCGAAGCTCTCCCCTCGGGAATTGATTACATCAACCCACCGATAACAGCGTAGTTTTCGACCTTAACCAAACGGTCCCTTTTAATTTATTCCAGTCTTGAGCAATCAGTTCGAGTGGACGGTTGCTATACCAAGGCAGCAGATTTTTTACTGCGGAACTTTCTCCTACCTCGTCGTTAGGGCAATCGTCGTCATGACCCTCTCCTTCTTCCTCCCCTGCTCTTACTCCTCCTTTTCTTCTTCTTCTTCTTCTTCTTCTTCTTCTTCTTCTTCTTCCCCTTCTCCTACTTCTCCCTCCTCACACCCTCTTTATTATAGTTACTCTTCTTCACGTTCTCCTCCATGTTGCCTTTTCTTATTCTTCTTTTCAATCATAAAAATCATTATCATAATATCGCTGTCCACTCTCCTCTTCCTTGTTTACCCAGTCCCTCTCAAAACTGAAGGTTGAGCTGCATGACTTCTCCTCAATGCGGTCCTTACGACATTTTCTCTCACGCGGGACCCGAGACCCCCAAATGTGATTTGATACACGGGATTGGGAGCAGATCATGTATAGCACTCGCATATGAGGATTGGTTCTGTCTGTTACTATAACCATGCTCACCTGAGGTTCTCCTAACTTTGACCTGCCCTCGGAGCGCGGTGGGGAAGAGGGAGGTAGATGCAGCGCACGTTCGCCCTACTATAAGCAAATCCAAACGCGGTTCACGCCTAAGCTCACCCCCTCTGGAAGCAGCAGTGGATGTTGCTGTCCGCGATTGCTAAAATAGCACTGTATAGGAATTAAAGAGTGAAGGCCTCCAGACAAGACAGGCAGAATGCGCCTCGCCCGGGGACTCCTCCAAGAGACTGACTTGACTTCAGATCATAGGCATTCCAGATCAAGAGTTGAGATACGAGCGGCTTGCAGTGCTAAGTACGTTAACGCACTTTATGCCGGCCTCCTTTCTATTCACTGTCGTGATTGTACCACATCGGAAACGTTTTTTGAAAATTTTTACTCTTGATGTGGTTTGCACTGGCTGAAATAAAAGCTCAAGGTCATAAAACGGTAAGTGGCTAGGGTTAGGAGTTGGGGCTAGGTTTAAGGATTGGCATTAGGGGTTAGGGGTTAACGTTAAACCCCCTGCTACCATCGGTCCCGTAAAACAGGCGGCTGGGGCTTGTCCATTGCAGGTGCGGCTAAAAGGTAAGATCCGACCCATAAAACATGACAAGTGCACACAATGACTCACTAAATGATGAAGTGTTTCGCATGCGAACTTTCCGCACCACCTCCTCAGCCAGAACGGAGGTGCAGCCAAGATGAACCGTTGTCTCCCAGGCACAGAGCCTACTGTATGTCATGCCCTGAACGTCAAATAGGGCTTTAAAGGAACTGGGTGAGGAGCTGGACGAGGTTGAACGAGGGCCCTCCGAATAAGTGGATCTCAGTTGGTTGGCACACTGCAGGGCAGTGATAAACTCCACAGGGCTGCCGTGCACACGGAAACGCAGCGGCAGGTACATCTGCACGGGCTGAATTGGTTGTTGGATCTGCGCCAACAGGTCAGACGCCGGTTGCACCACAATCTGCAGTTGATCGTAAAACGCACCAAAAACGTCGCCCACCGCCAGGAGACAAATGCGAAGAGTGGAGAAGGCGGGCAAGGTGAAGGTTTCCGTATTGACCATCTGGCCCGACTTCAGGAAGGCGTCAAACGCGCGGTCGTCGAGGTTTTCGTTGAGATGGGACATTTGGAAGAAGGAGTGTGCCACGATGGCACAGCCCTGGCCTTCGGGGACCAGAGTTTTACACCAGTCTGGGAAAACGATCCAAGACGAAATGATCGAGTTAATGACAAAGACTTATGCTAAAAAGATACCTACGAGAGAGGAGTAAATTGTATTACGCCGCAAACAGTTGAGTAACGAACCGCCAATCCATATGCACGAATAGAAGGCCGATTTTTGATCTGTCTTGAGTTAGCCATATGCGTTCCTTGGAATAGCCGTGAAAAACCTTCGAGGACGGTCGCATAGCGATGAACAAGCAGTAATCGATGAACGCGACAAGGTCACAATGACAAGGAAGCCCAAAACCTTGCTCTGGCCTCTCCTGACCTTACCAATAATGATGTAGGAGAAAAGCGTTTAAATTTGTAAGAATTAAAGTCACCCGAAGAAGAAAATAGATCTCTCCAAAGAATCGTAAATTCGAGCTTCAGTCATTTGCATAAAAGGCACATGTTTGTCGACTAAGTGAAATCAGCTCCGTATTTTGGCAAAGTTTGCACAGGTGAGAAGTTTTCGCCCTCACGGACTGCAAGAACTCGTGAATACAATGTCAGGGCGACCGACGATTTAAGCATTTGGAATTAGTTTTTTTTTGGATACACACACGCCTCAAAATAAGGAAATCAATGCAAAGATGAGATTGGCCACTAGTTTGTCTTCGGCTTTTCCCGCCGGCTTCTGAGTTTGACTTCTAAAATTAACGATGAGGCGTAGACTGCTCAGTGACCGAGAGGCGGATTTGCATAGTGTTGCAGCAAATACATGAACTCCAGCTGTTTGAACGACTTAAACGTGGGATTAGGCTGTCAGATGATCAAATACTTGCTCGGACAGACGAATCTGACACGAGGGAAAAAATTGCAACCACTGTCCCCACAGGTTCGCCTAGAATCTCTTTTTCTGGAGATAAGTTTTCAGCTGCATCACACTGCATTGCATCCTCCAGTTCAGAAGAAACTAATGGTCGGGGAATGGGTCAAATGAGAATGCCAATTCTACGGTAAGTGTGAGCGCCCAAGCATTAAATGTCGGTTCCCTGACTAGAAGCCGTAAAGCTTACCTGAACTTCAGGTTCCTGGTCCGTCTATTCGTCTTATATTTCCTTTTAAGATATTGTCTTAGCAAGGCTGACAAAATCTTCACTCAGAGGAAAGTGAAACACCCCGTGGTAGCCAGGGTATATGCCATCGCTGGACCTGCTTAGTCAGAGGACGGTACACTCCCCCCATTGCTCAGTCGACAGAAGGCCCGGTAGGTTATTCAATTTCATCATAGTCGTCCCCTACTCATTATTTTTGACAACAGTTTTTCCGTATTCATAAAAAAATTTTTCGCGGCAGTGTAACGTAGCAACTCCGAGAAAAACTCGCCCTGCCAATTTGCCGTGTTTAAATACACCTTTCAGACTGGACTCCACGCAATCTGTTTGCCAGAGAAGCAAGATCGCAAGAATCACCCGCGAAAAGGATGACTTAGGTGGATTTACAGCACTATTGTTTCCCTGTCGACAACAGGCTCAACAAACTTTGAGGGCGACGTTCGAAGAAACCCTGGTTTTTTTTACTACGGAAACTTCCATTTTGTTTCGATGGATGTGTAAAATTTACAGAGTTTCCTCAAACAGACCTCTAAAAACGTAATTCCTTATGGAAATTTTGAGAAAAGTGGCCTATTTCGATTTTCTAAGTTCACTACATCCTAATATTTATCGAAGCAAGCTGCATTCTTACATTTTAATAAGTTTGCCACATTAGTTGTTAGACATAGCCATCCAACGTCAGATAAAAACCATCTAGTTGCTGGTATAGATGCTCGGCTCAAAAGTCATACAAGAAATGAGTATAAATTTTATGATTGAGAGGTTGTTCGAACTAGCTCATCTGTCTTCCAAAAATAGTAACACATAGATATCCAGGCAGGGTCATACAAAGGCTCTGCACTAGACCTTTTAAAAGCTACAATAAGCCGTTGTCATTTGCAAACTTCAGAGGAAACGCGATCCTAGGAAACTTTCTTTATCCCGATTCTTATTGGAAACGCCAGCTGATTTTGTATGCACGTCTGAAATTCATACTTTTTTCCCAAGCGGAGATAGCTTTTTGTGCCCTTTTCGAGCTACTGAGTAGACAAATTATTATATAGGCAAGATTTGCGTTTGCAAATTCGTGCAACTGAGACCTCCGCACGTAACTCAAATGTTGCAACTCTGACAGCAGAGTATCCTACAGATAACTGGTCAAAATATGTATTAACATAATTAAAGGGTTATTGAGCAGGGCACAGGAGTAGGACGCCACCAGGTTCCGTCGTCATACAAGTGGTTCAGCTATAACTTCCAGGGGGATTATGTTTGGGATTAAGCTTTTGGTCAGGGTTGAGATTTTGGTTAGAGCTAGTGTTAATCCTGGGGTTAGGACACAGGAATAGGTACCCTTCTTGAAACTTAGCGCAAGGCCATCTGCCTTTTGAAGGATTCCTAGTCCAGCCTCTTACCACTCATTGGCCTGAGACGTTGCGAATATCAGGCGAGGAAAATACTAGGTCGGCCGGACCCCTGGCTGCCAGAATACATCACAAAATTGCCGGAAATGGTCAAATGGGATAAGCAAACCACCGGGAAGAAATATTGACAAAGACAAGGGGGTAAGTGGGATGACAATTTCTGGCTTATTAATCGCCATTAGTCAGCCTTACCCAACCCCAGATTTGCAGCCGCGTTCTTTGGTCATCGGGCGTTATTAATCCAACGCTATTTCATTGAGCCACGTACCCGTTCCCCTGTCGGTTACGCTCAAGATTATTAACTTACAGTCGGTGTCCGATCTCACGAAATGTTGACTGAAATTTTGCAATGTGTTTTCGATCAGGGAGGGTTACTTAGGTGGGATTGTTATATTTATTATCATGAGACATAATCCTACTGTACTTCGGACTCGCCAGGATGCCCGTCTTTGAATGCACATCTTTTTGACCTCTTGTAGAAACCATACTCGGCGTAAAATGACTGCTTGACTAATATGCATTTTCGACGCTAATTTTCGATCATCTTATATATCTAAATATATTTTATAGAAAACATGAATAAAAGTATGCTTTATACTCGTTAGGTAGAGAATCGCATTATTTCCTCATTTTATACTCAAAGAAAGAGTACTTTAGGTTTTAAAAGTTCCTACTTATCGTATGTTTTTTAAGACCGTGCAATATTGATTCATACAATACCGTACCTGTCCGTTTACCAATTTTCCGCATGAAATATGCAACACAGTTTGCATCCATTGCAAAATTTTATGAGCTCTGTATGCTATCTTCTTAATGACATAAAGAAACATATGATTTTCTTTACATGGACAACATGCACCTTGTAGACAGAAATCGCTAAACGCTAATGTAACGACTGATCAGTCTTCAAATTATTCGAAAATTAGGAAACTGCTGCAAAACCTAAATACGCTCTTTCTTTGGGTATAAAATGTAAAACCAACATGATTTTCTGTCAGACGAGTCAAAGAAAGCATGTTTTTTTAAACAAAATCTATTTAAATTCACAAGACTGTCGAAAATCAATGTGAAAAAATGCATTTTATTCAAGTATTCATTTTTCACTGGGTAGGGTTTTTGCAAGCGACTGAAAATAAGTGCATTCAAAAGCCGACATCCTGGTGAGTCCGAAATAGGATTATGCCGCATGATAATAAATATTATAATCCCACCTACGTAATCCTTCCTAATCGAAAACACATTTCAAAATTTCGGTCAACATTTCATTAGATCGACCAGTCGCTGTATGGTGGAAGTGGCTTCCCTTGTCAGGTTACGGGACACGCTCATCTCTCTGTGTCTTGGGGCTCAATCTAGAGTCGTCGAAGTCAGTCGCATTGCGCTCAGTAAAAGTGCAGAAAGGGAATATTGATGTAGACAAGGGAGGCTGAGGAATCCCTTTTGAACAGTGTTCAAAATAGATTCCTCCAACGTCTTACCATAAATGAGACGATCTCTCACATGACTGCCGTAGTTTGGGTCAGTTTCGTTCTTTTGATTGGCGCCCAGAGACGCCTGCAGCAGTCGCTGAACTCCGAAAACTGTGCCCGAAGGTGGATTATGCCACTTTGCCAGGTCATCTGTTTGGCAGCCGAAAGTATCCACCTGAAGTGTGAAAAGAGCCGGTATGGCTGAAGTGTTGTTTACTTCAATCCACCGTTCACGCGGAATGCAGAGGCCGGTCGAGTCAAACTCCACCAGTGGACCCACGATTTGGGCGCTGCATTCGAGGAAAGCGTCATCGTCGACTGTGAGATAATTTGAATCGTAAGGATCCACTTGGGTTGTTTTGCTGGTGAAAGTGGAGTGAACAGAGGCAGTTAACAGTTGCAAATTAGGCCTTATTTCATCCGGAAGGGGTTAAGTGTTTAAAAAGGTTAACCTAAAACCTCGAAACACGTTTAACATCTGTCACGATTGCTACCGTTAACAAACTGGAAAATCACTATGCTGTTTACTTTTAGTTGGGCAAAAATATGTAAAAATATGAGGGAAACGGCACTAAGAAATGAGATTGATTATGATCATAATGGTAAGGGGGCGCTGGTCTGTGTCAGTAATACTAACTCATGAAATGTGAATCGAAATTCCGAAATGCGTTTTCGTTTTGAAAAGACTAATTAAGTAGGGTTTTAAAACTAATCAGTCTATAATAATTCAGTTACCTCAGGATGATGGCTTTTGAGCGAACGTTTTTCCCGCTGCATACAAACCTATGCTCTGTTAAAAATGACTACTTCAGCATCATGCATTTTCCTCACTGATTTTCCACGCACCTAAAAGTCCAATTATATTTCATGAAAAACACGAATGCAAATATTCATTCTTTCGCTCATTCGGTAGACAATTACGTCTTCTTCCAATTTCATACTCGAAGGAAGGGTGTTATTCGGTTTTCAAAAACTTTTCTTATACCCGAATAATTTTTAACCCGCTCTGCTGCCACACTTACATTCAGGCTTTTCAAACTACAAGCCATGTATTTTCCGTGTATGGAAAACCACACACTGCTCTACGGTATTGAGAGGAGATCATATATGGTTCATAAAATTCAGCATTGGATTTGATCCATATTGTTAACTTTACAAGCCACATTGGTAAATGCTGAGACATGACGTTTTATGAACGGCGATTTGACGGTATTTACAAGTCTCACAATAAGAAACTTTTTAAAACCGAAGTATATCCCTCATTCAAGTACAAAATTGAAAGAAGACGTAATTTTCTACCGAATGAGCAAAAGAATAAATATTTTTTTGCATGCTTCCTATGAAAAATAATTGGACTTTTAGAGGCATCGAAAATCAATGAGAAAAATCAGAGCTACTTAAGTAGTCATGTTTACGGAGAAGATTTTTTGTATGTAACCGGAAGGACGTTCGTTCGAAAGCCAGCATCCTGAGGTAACTGAATTATTATAGAATTATACTGCAGACTGATTAGTTTTACAACCCTACTTCATTAATCTCTTCGAACTGAAGACACATTTCGGAATTTCGGTTAACATTTCATGAGTTAGCCCACCTACTGTATATACGTATCTATACATATGGCAAATGTAGTATGCCGTTCTCCCGACACAGTTACTCTAACTAAAAGCCCAGACAAGTGTTTCTCCGATATTCTGCCGCTGTGTGACACAGCTGCGAGGGGCTCAGCTTCTCAGTGGGTCCTCCAGCGTTCCCTGTGCGGTTTTCGGTATAGGAACTCCAGAGAATGATCAAGCGAATAATTTCAGAAACTATTAACTGCAGGACATGGAGTTAAGTCTCCGGGACATGACTTGTTTGGGGTCAGACCAGAATACCGCCGAAACACGTGGGCTTTTAGTTAATATCTGTGTCGGAAGTACGGTATGACACGTTTACCACATACATTTCGTACTACTCGTAGCACTGCTTGTTTGTAGGATGGGCATTACGTGGTTATTTCACAGTAGTTTATCGTCTTCGACTCGAGTGTTCGTTGAAATTAAGCCAGACGCGTTATTTGGGAAAAGTGGAAAACTTTATTGAGTAGATTTTCGACGCTGGTTCCCCAGATCGTCGTCAGACTTGAGTACAACATTTCAAAAGTGCTGAAAAATCAATATTCCTTTAGTGTTTTTGCCAGTCAGCGGCCACCGTGTGCGTCTTTCTATATAAGTTGGCTCTCTTCTCTTCCACTTTTCCCTGAGACTTTTGTTCATAGCATCTAACTCGATGTGTCGATTGATTCACTACTCATCGGAACGCATGTCCTTAAGAAACTCTCGGTTTTGTTGGGAAGGCAAACTCCGACGATGCGAGTTTTATCCCATGCGAAGGTGTGCACAGTAAAGAGTTTGCATGGTCATTTGAGACAGATAGTCTCGCCTCTTAACTGCCAGCCGGTGCTCGTGAATGCGTGTAGAGGCAGATTTTTCCGTTTGGCCATAATATGCGGCATCACATAGGGTCTTAGAGACGACTTCCTTCTCATCGAAATAGCCAACCCTATCTTTAGGATATACAAGCTGAGTGCGTAAAGTAGTCGTCGGCTTTTGTGCCACGTTTGTTCGGTGTTCCCCTAAGTGTCTTTCAACAAGTTAAGACACATTCCTGACGCAAGGAAGGATTCGCCAATTATTAACTACGGGGGCCTAATTGGAACTATCTAGTTCCTTTGCTTTTACTCTTGTTTTCCCAAGTGTCGACTAATGAAATCACTGGCGTAACCGTTCTGTGAAAATAATTCAAACAGGTAATTTAGCTCAATTTGATAGCTTTCTTTGTCAGATCTATGTGTTTTTGCTCGATGTAGCAGACTTTGGACAGTACTCCGCTTGTGAGAGATTGGGTTGTTGATGTCATGGTGCAGAATTAATTCCGCATATGTTTCTTTGTGGTAAACGGGTGTGTGTAATGTTCAGTCAGTCTTTTGCTGCACGAGGACATCCAGAAATGGTAGTTTATTGTAAGCTTCTTTTTCGAGCGTGAATTTAATTATCCGAATGATTAAGTTGATGGTAATGGGGAGGATTTCAAGTTGATCCTTTTTAATGACATCAGGATATTATTGCAGGCTACGGCAATGCTGTCTTCAAGTACTGCTTTCCCGGGAAAAAACAGTCTTGACCTTGGTGTAATCGGTGTTTGCAGCATTTATCGTGATTCAGGTAGTTACACTTTGTAGATCGTCGGCCAATGATTGCCGCCCTTCTTTAAACTTGTTTTTGTCACAGATGGAAAACCGGATGGTTTTACATGGTAAAATGTGCTACGCGATCAGCATGATTCGCATATCGACGGCAGATTATGAACTAAGGCAAAAGTCGACATAAATGGAGTGCGTTGTTTGGTGGTACTTATGTCTCTTCATTCGATCTTGTTCTTTTTCAAACAAGAATACCTTGGCGCTCTTTGATCTCCCACGCCTGTGCGAAAACTATTAGGAGCTTCCATTGCGATATGACCAAGGTGAATTTAATCCATTTATTTGAGAAGGAAACATGGCAAATTATTTCAACATACTATCGTTTGAAGATTAGCGGGACGATATCGAGAAATTAGGGTGGGAAATGTTTAATGCGATACTTAAGTCTACTTTTCTCTCACCAGACCTTTGGAGACTCTTACGACCGACATGAACCCTACCGCTCGAATGATAAAAAAGCGATGAGCAAGAATGCAGGAATGTACTTTACGTGGCTTTATGACTACAGTAATGAAAGAGCTCGAAACAGAGTTTGTCAGATCATTAATTGAAGTTGGAAAACACTTCGTGAGTGAATATGCTTTTCCAAAAATGCGTCCTACCTAATGAAATCTAACGTTAGATTCACTTTCAAGCGTGTTAACATAAATAGTTTATTCTTGCTTTATATAAGACCACAGCCGATTACTCCGCCTAATCTACAACAACGGTACCATAGAACATTTTCCAAGGGAAGACTGGTCACTGCGAATGAGAGGCCCTTCGTGTCACCGGAAATGTCGAGCCGGAGAGGATCCTGCTGACCGTCGACCTTGCAGAGAAGCCTCAAATCCGTAATCCTCCTCTAGAAAGTGAAAAAAAACATTGGTGGAACAAAAGAACCTCATTGACGCGTTTGATAGTATCAGAAATCAAGCAAAGCAATGTTGTCTCATGATTTCTCGTATAATTCACCAACGACGCCGGCAGTCAATAGAAACGAAGAGAGGAGAGTTCCAGGAAACAGTCGTGAAGAGAGGGAAACACGATCGCTGGAACGAGAGTTTTATTCGCCTGACGCACGTAGGCAAGTATTATTCCCAACGCCAGGGTCGGTGGTCCAGATGATTGAGCTATCATCACACAAGTATCCGGCACACTCGATAAAATTGCAGTGATTGGCGACTCGAATGGCGGCCATCGAAAAATCATCATGCCAAATGGAACAGTTCTTAATGAAGCGTTGAGCCGTAGAATCCGAAACGTCTGACGAGTAAAGCTTTTGTTTCAACTATCGTGTCACCTTCACGGCACCAGTAGTGTTACCTTTCGCGGCACCGACCTCTCTCTGTCTCTACTCAACATCCGTGTATAGTGTGTATTTTTGGGTAATAGGCAATGCGCTTGATGACCCTATTGGAACGGTACATACGATATAACTGTGAAAAACACATCTTACTAAACTTTTGCCAGTAACATATTTGTTTACGGAAAGCGTTTTTACAGTGCGAGACTGCGGGTGCGGCGGGCGTCATTTCAATGTACATATGAAATGTTAAGTGCAATTATATACAATCAGCATAAAGTGCAGTCATTTGCGTAGTTTGAGAGGGAAAACTTTAGTGATGTGTTACATATGGATGAAATCAGGAAACGAAATTTATGGTTGGCCGCAGATAGTCATGCAGTGAGAGTCTTCGTTTATCAAAGATCAAACGATCCAGCTGCCTTTTGAATACAGCCATTGTATCAGATGCCACTTTTTCGCTTGGGAGTGAGTTCCACGGTCGAACAACACGCTGGCTGAAGGAAAACTTCCGATGGTCTAGGCGTGTACGCTCCCGCTTGACTTTGTACGGAAGACCGCGCAGGCGACTCATGGTCGTGAATTCAAAGAAGCCTTCAGATATGAGCGGACATTCATGCCCGTGGATAATGTGGAATGTCCATAACAGGCCACACCTCATTCGTCTATAGGATAGGGGAAACAAATTTAGCTGGATCAGTCTTTCTGGGTATGACAGAGTACTGAGACCGTCCACCAGTTTTGTAGCCTGTCGTTCCACTTGATCTATGTCATCACGGTCTTTCTTCATCCGGGGCATCCATGATGACATTCCGTATTCTAAATGCGGTCTGACGAACGTTCCGAATAGCTGTGAGAAGAGTTCGGGAGGAAAGATTATGAAGGCACGCCTAATCCAGTGCATGGGGCTGGTTGTCTTTTGAACGACTCTTACAGCGCTGAGAGGGCAGCAATTCTGACCATGTCCAGACACCTAGGTCTTTGTGCCTGTCCATTTCTTTTAGTGGAACCCCATTTATAGTGTACTGGTGTTTTGGGAAGCTCCTCCGTCCAGATTCTAGTCGCAAGACTACACACTTGGATACGTTGAACGCTAGGAGCCACTTGCTGGACCACGCAGCCAGCTTATTAACATCTTCCTGTAGCTTTTGCGCATCTTAAACGCAGCTGATTGTTTTCCAGATCTTTATATCATCTGCAAACATGATGTCATCGCATTCAAGGTCTGCAGGACAGTCATTTATATAGATGAAAAAGAGGAGAGGACCAAAGACTGAACCCTGCGGAACGCCGCTTTTTACTGACACCCATTCGGATACAGTGGTACCAACGATCACTTTTTGGGGCCTGAATGACGGGGAACTTTTAATCCACTTAAAAATGTTGCCCTGTACTCCACACTCCCAAATCTTCTGTAGGAGTCGTCCATGAGGAACGCTATCAAACGCCTTCTTAAGGTCAAAGAAGATGACGTCCATTGGACGGCCCTGGTATATGGCTCTTGTTCATTTTTCCTACGCGCAAAGACTGCTTGTAAGACAGGAGTGACCACGTCGAAATCCGTGCTGAGCAGCACATAACAGGTCCCTCTGCTCCAGATACGACATTAAATGTCCTTTAATAAGTCGTTCCATGACCTTGCATAAAATGCAGGTTAAAATAATAGGACGGTAATTTTCGGGCTCCAGCCTGGATCCTCCTTTATAGATTGGAGAAATATGGGTCGTTTTCCATTCCTCCGGCAGTTCGCCTTCTTCCATGGACTTCTGAAATATCATGGACACCAGCTCACACAGTATATCAGCTAATTCTCGGAGGACACGTAGATGAATTCTATCTGGACCAGGTGATTTGGCAGGCTTCAGCCGGCGTAGTTCGGCCCTTATCAACGTGGGTGAGAAGAAAAGATTGTTTTCCAATGCAGGACAGGAAGGATTTTGTCGTTGGTCTACGTAAGGCATAGGAGGAGGATTTGTGTCGTGAGTGAATACCGACTAAAAGAGACTGGAGAAGGCTGATGCTTTCAGGTGATCATCTGTCTCATTTATTCCGTTTTGGGGCCTCAGCGCTGGTCGCGATTGCTCTTGCCATTACGTATGTAACTATAGAGGATTTTAGGATGCTCCAAAGAGCTTTGCAATATGCATAGCCCATAGTTGCTTCGAAGTCTATTAGCCTCGCGTTTACACACATTCCCCTGTCGCTTGTATTCCTTCAGGTGTTCAGAACTCTCTGTTTGTCGATAGTGTCTCCACACTTTATTCCTCCTCTTAAACGCGGTTTGCAGCTTTCGATTTATCCACGGCGGACGGTTGCTTGTTTTCTTTCGTGTGAGTGGACAGTTTAGATTAACGATTCTTTTGACCAGTGAGCTGAACGTGCTCCAGTAGTCGTTAAGTGTTCCCTGCAATGTGGTTGTCCACGGTATTGCTGAGACTTGGGTTCGCATGCTGCAAAAATCCCCCCTCCAGATACTTGTTTGTAATTGTTCAGGTGAATCAGGTTGGGAGAACATGGAATACTCGAAGAGCATCACAATTTGTTCACTAGCACCAATTGGCGGGAGATCCTGTATATCCAGCAAACTCTCCTCATCACGAGTGAGCACCAGGTTGAGGCAATTAGAACGCTGCCCTTCCCTGACAGGCGTTCCGAGAGTTACATTCTGGAAAAGTAGTTTTTCTCCTGCCAATTCAAGCAAATGTTGTCCGAATGTGTTCAATAGACCTGAAACCGTCCAAGCTTGCCAGTCGATATTGGGGGCGTTAAACTCCCTGACAATGAGGACGTTTCTGTTCGAGCAGATCTTGTTCAGGCCCCTTAGGAGAAGGCTATCGTGTTCGGAAATCTTGTTTGGGGGACGATATACAACTGCAAACACCAGCGGCCGGGCGTATTTAGTGGAGATATTTAAAGATAAGAATGCCACTTCTGCTGTTGTTGTTAGATTTTTCTCAGGGACCGCGGTCAGGTTGTAGTTAATACAGAGAGCGACCCCTCCTCCTCGGCTTTTACTGTCTCTTCTAAACAGTTGATAGCCTCTGAGGGGTACCTCATGATGTCCAGTAGCTTCAGAAAGCCATGGTTCTGTCAAGGCGATGATATCTGGCGTGTGGTCGTCGATCAGAGTCCTGAGTTCATCCATCTTGTTAAACAGGCTCTGCACCTTCCATGAGCAAGTCCGCAGATGGGCTCAGATGCAGGCTTTGAACTGTTGGCATGCAGTCCCCTTCCACGCGTGCCAAACGATAGTGTCTACCGTGTGCCCCACTAAAATGTGAGCTCGGCGACGAGGACTTTCGCTGCATCTATCGCACTTCCCCACCTGGACCCGGTGTCAAGACAGAGTCAAGGAGAACGGCGGTGTGAAAGGGGGCGGGTGGCTGGCGCGGCGTGAACCTGTACATAAGCGTACTACCACACCCTCGTGTGTGGCATTTCTTATGGAGGCGCATCCCCGATAACAACTGTCGTGCCCTGATCTGACCCCCCATGCTGGTCCAGTGCATCTACCACGTGGCCCGTCATAAAAGCACGCGCACTAGTTACTTTCCTACAGCGCAACTAGACCTCGCACAGATGCTCACGATCGCTGGTGAGGCATGCCGGCAGTCCTAACCCGACTTTACTCGCCATTAGAAACGGTTACTAAGGGGTGTTCCCACTACCACGAGGGTCTAACAGTTTCCCTCATAGGAGTACGTGCTGTGGGCGCAAGCAACAACGTGAAGAGTGTGCAGCAACCAAGAATAATTTTCATTAAAAGTCTCAATTTCATCTAATTGACTTTGTAATCATAGTGCCAAGGAGCAGTTCTCAGAGCTTATAGCCAGCCTCTATTTTTAGTTCTTCTATTTTTTGGATTGCCTGGTAACTGCTTCTGCTCTTCTGGTCTTCTTTGCTCTGGAAAAAGCCTAACAAGAACTTATTGCTGTTTCTCTTGACAGGGGAGTGCATTCAGCAGTCACAATTGATGACAATTAAATATATAGACTTATGGTCTCGCTAAATGTGACCACCTATTCACGGGTTGACCGGTGAACGAATGAAAATATATCCCATGCTATTCTAGACACAGAGCTAAAGATTCCATGTCGGATCTCCCTAGAAAAGTAATACTGTATATCAGGCAGATGAGCTAAGTCGCCTTCAGTGGCGTTAAGCAGCCGAAAAAACTCGCGTTCCACTGGTCGGAAGTTGTGCTGGGTGTATGGTGAGGTGATATTCTGTTTGTAGAAAAACGCTTGTCTGCGTAACACAATTTAACGGCAAGAAACTAGGAGGTTTTCACGAAAACCGAGATGGAAACCGATAATTCCTTCAAGTCACTTTTATAGTATCCGACAAAGTATCAAAGGCCAAGGAGAACCGATCGACTTAGAAACCAAGCGATATATAGGGGGACTCGAAAGGAACTTCCTTGCAGGGGGACTCGAACATTAAGTCATTTGATAAGGGTGGAATATGTAAACCCCTTGGTGGTTGATCGAAAGCCTACCTTATTATCTTGCATAGTTAGGTGAGCTTTACAACAATTTGTCTGGCAGTAGGTCACGAAAGAGGTTATGCGAGGGGCGGATATTGACCCACCACTGACGTAACTAACATTAAATGCGCCCGTTTTGAGCTCAAGACTAGGGTTTAGATAGCAGTTAGAATTGGCTTTAGTCGAACTATGCTTGGGACTAAGGTTGCCAAGCTTAGGCTATGCTTTGGATTAAGGGTTGAGGGTAGAGTTAAGGTTTTAATGCTAGGTTTTGGGTTACGGTTACGTCCGAGTTTTTCCAAAATGCTTAGGGGTTAGAAATGACCCATTTCAAACATGGCCATGGCTGACGTTTGGTTTGTAGCTAACTACGTGTCCCAAGGGGTGACATACCAGTTATTCTTGTTCATAGTCGGACCAAGGCAATTTTCACTCCCCTGGTTGATTTTTTTGTCACGTCCAGTTCTACGTATGAAAGGCATTCCTCCAAGTCGCTGTCCCAGCGCTCGCTTATATTTTTTTTTATTAGCCGCAGTTATTATTATCGTCGCAGGTGCTACTACTACTACTACTACTACTACTACTAATACTGCTACTACGAATACTGGTATAATTACTACCGTTGCTGCTGTTGCTATTGCTGCGGCTGCAATAATTTCTACCATTATTACTGTAATTACTGTTTGAATAGTCAAGTTATCTCAAAATACAGACGAAGGGCGTAGGTCGGATGCAAGTAGGTGCGCCTGGAAGCTAGGGGGTGTGGGCGAGCACACCCAAACAAAGCCTGACCTTGAGGCAGTGGGGTAAAAAAAGGGTGTGGTAAATTAGGAAGGCCAAGGACACACGTACCTGCAGTCGAGATATGCACTGGATTCGAATACTGACAGTTTCGAAGGCGGGTAGGCAGCGACAGTCCGAAGGCGTTGCAATCACTTCCACCCAGCTAGCGTCGGCGCCCTCAGTCTGTGTGTGTGTGTAAACAGGTGGGAACAGGCATCAAGGACACACCCAAACTGAGCAGCGAGGACACCCGTTAGAGCAAAATATCTAGCAGGTGTGGCTTGACCAGGCACACCCGTAATTCTGAAATTGTTGTGGCTGAGACCGAGTGCAAAATTGAGCCAGATTTCCGAATTTAAGTTCCTGCAGATGTTCTGCTGCAAACAATACTACTACTACTACTACTACTACTACTACTACTACTACTACTACTACTACTACTACTACTGCCACTACTACCACTACTGCTGTCGCTAAAACCACCAATACCACCACCGCTAGTAATTCCTGAGAACCGACGGATTACACACCACCGGAGCGGATAAAATGCCGACAGTTAGTTCAGGAGCTAAGGCTGCGACAAATGAATGGCGAACAGGGCCTGGTTATCTACAACAACTGCATAATCGAGCGACCGTCCCGCTTCATATGGATACGGCCCGTGCGTATGTCGCCACAGCCGAGGCGATTGGCAAAGGCGGCGTCATGGCCGGCTTACCAAAGGCAAAAAGCTAAAATGCTTATATTCCAATGCACAAAGTCTGCTATCTAAATTAGATGAGCTTAAGATCTACGTTAACCAAACCTTACCCGATGTAATATCCATAACTGAAACGTGGCTGTCCGCGAGCGTAGACGATCGCGAAGTCGCTTTATCTGGTTATCACTTGTTCAGAAAGGACAGGTTGGGACTGCTACTACTACTACTACTACTACTACTACTACTACTACTACTACTGCTGCTGCTGCTGCTATTACTACTACTACTACTACTACTACTACTACTACTACTACTACTACTACTACTTCTACTACTACTGCTATTACTACTATTACTACTACTTCTACTACTACTGCCACTACTACTATTACTACTACTACTACTACTACTACTACTACTACTGCTGCTGCTGCTGCTGCCACTATTAAAATTAATACTGACAGTTCGACCGTCGCATCCGACGATGTTCACCGTGTGCTTCACAGCAAAATGCAAGCAAGGTTACTTGCATGTAAATTAGTTTATAGTGGGTGCAGGCTTGCGTCGCATCGACCGCACTCCCTTCTTCTCCTGCCCCACCTGATCTTGGTGTCAAGACAGAGTCCAGAGGATAGGAGGCAGGGGAGGGCGCAGATGCATGGCGTAGCGCGTCAGAAGGACGAGGGTAATGACTGGGCAGCCATGCTCACGACCTCCCCGTTAGCTGACTTGGAAGACGTCGCGGCTCCTCTGAAGCCGGACTCCCATCGGAAAACAATGCCTCACTAGGGGATTTCCATCTGTAGTTCGATTTTTGAACAGTTTAAAGCTTAAAAAGGAGAAAACTGCTGTCTGAGGAAAGTGCAGATAAAAAACTGCGTCCTGGATGATAGTTCGACAGTCGTGTCGAGCGAAGCCCATCCTGTAATACACAGCAAGGTGAAGCAAGCACGTCGACTTGCGCGTGGATTAGTTAATGTTGAGTGAGGACTTGTGCAGCAACTGCCGCACTTTCTCCTCTTCCCGTTGTCAAAACAGCGTTGAGAAGACCGGAGGTGGGGGAGGGTCAGGTGGATGGCACAGCCGAGTTCGCACATGACCGCCCCACTCCCCACACTCCCTGGGCCACAACAAACACCTGACCAGGATTTTAACCAACAAAGACAACACCACAACGAAGCAGAAGGACGAGGATGATGGCTGGGCAGCCATGCTCACGACCTGTTTACCCAGCAGGAGCGCAAGGACATCTACCGGCAGGCAACCAGGTGCCAGAGAACTGCCAGCGCAGACCAGGCTGCGAGGGCCATGGTTTGCTGATCCTGACATAGCAGACGTTTGCAGACCTTTAGGCCAATACTACTTTTACTACTACTACTACTACTACTACTACTACTACTACTACTACTACTACTACTACTACTACTACTACTACTACTACTACTACTACTACTACTACTACTACTACTACTACTGCTACTACTAATACTGCTACTAATACTACTACTACTACTAATGCTACTGCTACTACTACTACTACTACTACGACTGCCACCACCACCAACCGCTCGACCATCGTAAGCGACGAGGTTTACTACTGTCGAGCGAAGTAAATGCTGCTGTGATTTGCGCATGGATTTGTTTAAATCGGGGTGGGCTTGCGCCGCATCCGACTCACTACATCTTCCCCAGCACTCCGCGTTTTGATGGGAAGACCAAGCGAGGGCAACTGCAGATTGGCGGGAACGTAGTTGCTGCCGAAAAAACAACCCTTCCACGTTGGCTACGCAGTGCTTCTGGCAAAGATAGGGCGTATAACTCCCAACTAACGTGAGCTAGCCCGTGGACCGGGTCGCACGTTGAGTGATAGAGGGGGGGGGATTTTACGGATGGGGCAAAACACAGGACGGAGAGCAAGGAGACACGGAAAATGGGTAAATTTCCACCGGCCCCTAGTCCATTAACGAGTGCAACGACCTTCCCCTTCCATCCTCGGTTCTGAGACTTCGCCTATAGCCACGCGGGGAGCGAACAGGTGAACACTCTTCCCAACGCCAGGGTCGGTGGGTCAAATTGTCGAGCAATCATCACACTAACATCTAACACACGTGATGAAATTGCAGCAATTAAGGACGCGAATATAGACGATCAAAAAGTCATCACACCAAATGAAACAATACCTGATGAAGAGGGGGGCGAGCCGTGAATCTTCGTGAGTATGAGGTAGCATGGGGAATGATTCCTATAAATACTGCAGCCCTCTATGCATTAATCACCCTATCTTCCTACTGTCTCTGATGATGTGTTAGAGCAGGAATCCGAAACGTTAGGCGAATAAAGCTTTTGTGCCAGCGGTCGTGTTTCCTCCTTCACCACAGGGATTGTGGGTGTCTGCAGGCTCAAAACTCATCTGATTGTTTATGGTGGAGAAAATATGCGCTGCATCCTAGCTGCATTGATCCTAATCCTTCTTCCCACTCGACTGGTAGTGAGACAGAGGGCAATGACCGGCGTGACGCAGAACCTCTGTCCATAGTATTTGATACACAGGACTACTATGACTACTCTCACTAGCACTTATTATACTAATTAAACTGCTACTACTACCACGGTCACCTCTGTTACGGCTGCTATCATTACAAATACTAGGAGTTTTCTCCTGTGGACACTCCAGAACAATCCGTTGCCTCGAACGTTAGACAAAATGTGAGAGAAATCCAGTTCAACAACTTGCGGCCAGAGAGACACGCCACTTCCTTCAGTGCACCAACTTGCTTGATCTATAGGACAGCAGTCCCTCCAGGCTCTACTTCGAAGCCACCACGGATCAATGAGTTCCGTCTGAGAAATCATAGCCGTCCATTTTGACCCTTGCGATCTACCACCAGTTAGCTTCTATTAAGACGAACCTACTGGCCCATAGTGTCCATAACTCGTAAAGATCTAAGCCGAGGGTTACCGCCCAGATTCATTATTTACTCTACGAACTGTGTACACTAATGCCGCTTTCAAAGTGCCTCAAAAGTAGATATTTCGTAAAACGAAGGCCCAGTATGTTGTCAAAGTGCGATTGTCAAGATGAGAAAATTTCCCTTACAGGGCGTTCGTGGAGGAGAATATTTTATATTCACTTTCTGAAAGAGACATCTGAAGTTTCGCGCGGTTGGCGAAATCTTTAGTTAGAAAGTTTCAGCTCCACATAGTTGGGGAGTTTACATTTTCTCAAATTCACTCTTAATTTAGGGATTTTTTGTTTGAATGCTGGAAGTCTTCAAATTTTGATACACATGTAAAATCGATAAAATCGAGGTAGACCAAAATGGAGGTTGTTAACTTAGTTGCCATCGCTGGCTAATAATACCTCGACCCAGACCCCCTAGTATGCTCGGATCCAGTTCAGGCAGTGACCAAACAGGAAGAATTTCCAGCAGTATAGAAATGATCACTACACAAATACTGTTGGCTTCGTCGGGATTAAGCAGACTTTGAAGAAAAAGATGGAATATGGCAGGAGGCGGTCTTCAGGGCTTGCCACGACATCCGAACACACAGAGTGGAAGAAAAATGCTAGAACTCACGGAAGTCCATTGGAAAGAGACCGGTAGAACCGATTTATTGGTCAATTTAACGATAACTTCAGTTGGAATGCCAAGGTAGATTGGCGCCAAGGTAACGTGGGTCGTGTCGAGAGCTAATACGGGCACCCGCGCCTCGCCAGTCACGCGCAGAAGCCTAAAAGGGGAGGGGGAAATGTTCCCATTCCACTGAAAATGTGGCGAACGCTACACGCCACGGTAAGTGAGAAATTATTTGTGCTTGTGTACAAAATATGTGAAACCTGAGTTGCCGCAGCTGAACAAAAAGCATTCAAGAAGAAGGCATCACGCCACGGCCCAAACTAGTCCCCTTTTTAAAAATATAACTTGGTGATTGCACTTCGTCCAGGCATTGGAAGACGACTCGTGTGATAGGAAGGATTGCAGTGATTTACCATAAAAACGTTGACAGAATAAATGTGGTCCTCCACTTTTGTGACGTTCTAACTCACGAATTGCTGCCTTTTCTCTCTGTAATGCAAACCGGATATTTTAAGTGAAGCGCCTTAAATAATATCTTCATGGAAATTCTTCCTCGGCATATCCACGGAATTAGGATGACACTGTCCATTGGTCCAATATTTTCCTTCAATACATTTAGAGGAACTGGTGGTCTAATCAGAAACTGAGACAGCTGTTAAATGTCCGAATACTACTTTTACCTCAGAGCTTATATAGTGCCAGAATTCATGTCTTCCTCTGGTCGAAGGTTCACAGACGATTCTTTGTCGCACTGCGTGAATGAGTACTCAATTTTGGGTCACAGCTATTGCGTTGGTTTAAGAATTCTAGCGGCCTCAGACGAAAATTCCTAACCAAACTACGTTAGATTTCATTACCGATCTGGCAAAACGACCAACATTAGAAGGCATAAAACATGTTAAACATTTGCGACAAAAAGAACCTCGGACAAAACTTCATGGAGAGCGGCAGTCGGGAGGACTTAAAGTAACCTACACACAAACCGTCCCCAGAAAAGATCATACTGCTTTCATTGCAGATCACCTAGGAATGCACGATCGGTGTGGTGGGCGTAGGATGCATTCAGAGTGAAAATTATTCTTTTATATATATATATATATTATCGATTTTAACATCTCTTAAAATATCAGTGAGGTGCAGGTTCAGAAGAAAAAACCCTAACCTCAACCTTAAACGTTAACCGTTAACCCTAACGGCAAAATTAGCCCTAATCCTAAGCGAAATCCTAAACGTAACCGTAGCCCTTAGACATAGCCGTATCTGTAAAACCTAATCGTAATGCTGAAACCTAATCCTACACTCAATCCCTAACCGTAACTCATGCACCTAAGCCTAAAGGCATAACACTAACCCGAAAATCGGAAACCATTAACCGGTAGCCTACTCCTAACCTCAAACGTAAAACGGAAGCCAAATGGGTCAAATGTGATTATGGAGTCCCACAAAAAAGCCCCAGTATACAAACCCCAGCCACCTGTAATACGGGGCCTGACTACCAACTACAATCTAGCCGAAAAAACCTTTGATGTGTCAGGTCGAAATCTAATTGCCTTTGATGAAATATATATTTTTTCTGGCTACTGAAGAGGATGATTGATATTATGCTGGTCTTGATTAAGCGTCAGTCATTGCACCTAATAATCGTTATTAGGCATGACGAGTAAACGAATGCCGCCCCTGGTGGAAGATCAAAAAGAGTCGACGCGTGATTTTATTCTTTCCTAGTTTTTGTGCGAAGAGTTCAAGTTTTCGCAAAATCAGAAACTCGATGCAAATTAAAACGTCAGAAGATGAAGCAGGTTCGGTGGACGAACACAGATGATATTTCGCTGAATCAACAAACACGCATGCCATGGCGACAGCTGCCTGCCCAAAGGAATGGACGTAGCGGCAATGGCTTGATCGTAAATATTTTTCACATTGCAGTTGACTTGCGCAGCATCTACCTAACTCTCCTTATCTCCAGCAAACCTACTCCTGTGTGGAGACGATTTCAAGAAGACCGGAGGTGGGCGCGAGCACAGTGCCTGACAAGGCCAAAGAGGCTGTCTACGCGTGCCACATACGAGATCTGATTCATACCGCATTTGTGGGACCTCTGTGGGGGCAGCTCAGAGCTCACATGGGCGAGAGTGCCATTAAGGCCATATTAGGAAGGTACCACTGAAGCCAGGCTCTCAGTCCTACACTCGCTTCCAAATGCGTTGATGAGGGCCCACTTCGCCCGTCGGTTTTCCGTCTTCCAAGCTACCACTATCAGCGCCTCGTGCTAGACGTTGTCGATTCGAGACCCGTTAGCGTAGGCGTGATATGACGGTTTTATCCCCGCCAGACGAGGTGTTGTATCTAATACGATCCACGCTTGAGCTCCTCTAGCAGTACAACTGCCAACTGTGGTTGATAGTTAGGAAAAGCTGTAAAGAGCTTAGCGAATCAGAATGCTGCAAATGAGCTAATTGTTTAAAAAGAGACCGATTTCACATGAAGGTCTCCCGACACTTAATTTTAAAGGCATTTCCCTTGCTAGTTAAGTCGATGAGCTAGCTTATATAAGGTACACGGTAATTTGTAACGGGCAGCCGGTTGCAGCGTCACAGTAACCGGTAAATGGACTGCGTTTACAGTCAGCTCCACACTTATACGGCCATCTCCATTTTAAGTGAAATGTGGACGATTATGCATAGATCGACTCGGTTTTGGTCTGAACACAAAAGTGGATAACATGTGTGCGGGGAAAATTCTATCCCAAAGTGGTTTAAGTAAGAAGAATGGTAAAAGGATAACTGTCCCAAAATTATAAGGCCAACTGCTCTGTCACCGTTCCTGCGCGTCTAGACTGGGATTGTGACGTCCTATGAATCGAAGGTCACGCTCAGGCCTACGTAGTTGTCATCGCCGATCGATAAGGCGATTACAACCATGTAATTAGTACTCACAGCTCCCAAAATTAATGAACCGCAGTCATTTTTCGAATCTGTCAAACGCTTTGAAAGGGTTTGAGCAGCGGTATAGAAAAGGATCCCACTTAACTGTCAGTAGACTGTGGATCGCGCCAAACATAATTTATTGTAAAGGGAGTTTTATGGGTGGGGCAGCACGTTTGACAGAAAGCGGACAAAATGAAAGAAAACGCAGAAAATGCCTGGATTTATGCCGAAAGTCTTATCCTACGCCATTGTACGACAACGCAAATGAGAGTAATAACTAAACAATAAACAAAAAGTAAATTTCACAGAATAACGGATTCTGAGTTAAGGTGTGAGTTCGGGGGAAGTAATCGTTGTTGGCAACGTAATTTCTGCAAATGTATGCCAAGATAGAACCCCATATGACACGATCAACAGTCTACTGACAGTTAAGCGGGGCCCTTCTCTATACCGTTGCCAGGTTTTGAGCTAAACGAAATATCGAAGTTGCCTGCAGTGAATCTTGGTAGTAGACAAATCGAGGGACGTCTGGAGAGACCGCAAACCATGGTGAATAGCTTCACTGGAGCTTGTAAGATGACATGAAACGGAAGGGAAGGAATTGTACATCTCGATCTAAAGGGGCACCGTTAATTTGACTATTTACGTGAAGAAGTAACATATCCGCTACCAAGGAAAGCAACGAATACGCTGTGCTGAATATCGCGTCATATGGACAGATCAGTGAGTGATACAAGATGGCCTTTGCCGATTGGGGGGGGGGGGGGGGGATTCAATTTTGGTGGCTTGGAATGTTGGGATTATTGTTGACATGATCCGCAAAAAGAGCCTGGCGCCTGCCATAGACGATGATGTGGAGGTGGCACTGTGGTATTATGGGAAGATTGTGTTTCACGCAATGATTTAAGACTGCAAAATGCTTAGTCGTTCATTTCAACACTTCCTGTTCATTTGCTGTCCTATGTGTATCAGTAAAGCGGTAAACCCATGGTTTTTCGAAGGCGTCTGTAGTATGCGTAGGGCCCAGTGGACGGAACAATGGCCAAGAAGCAACCGACGTGGAACGATAGTGTGGCGGTGCCTGGGTCCCAATCGTAACTCGTTTGAGAACTATAAGTAACTGCCAATAGAAGCGAAGAAACGGGTCCCAGGAAGTAGACTTGAAGAAGAAGACACGATCGCTGGGACGAGAGCTTTATTAGCCTGACGTTTCGGATTCCTGCTCGAACCCGTCATCAGAGACAACAGCAGAGGCCGAGGAGTTGAGGCTTCGCCTAGGCGGAGTAATTAGCCACGCGGGGAGCGCACAGGTGAACACTTTTCCCAACACCAGGGTCGGTGCATCAGATGGTCGAGCAATCATCACACCAACATCCAACGCACTTGATGAACTTGCAGCAATTAACGACGCCAACGTTGGCCATCAAATTGGCAGCACACCAAGTGCGACGATCACGGATGAAGGGGGAGCCGTGAACGTTCATGGGTATGCGGTAGCATGACGACTGCATCTTATAAATACTGCTGCCCCTTGTGCATGAATCACCCGTATCTGCTGTTGTCTCTGATGATGGGTTCGAGTAGGAATCGAAACGTCAGGCTAATAAAGCTCTCGTCTCAGCGATCGTGTCTCCTTCTTCAAGACCATAAGTGACTATTATTTAGGCGTGTATAAGGCATCAATCGGGCTTGCTAGTTTACTGATCGACAGAAAGAGTGCCTTAATCGAACAAGGACTTGGGACTTTGGTTAATGGCATGTCCAAAAGCTCAGTTGCACTTCTAAAGCGAAATAAAGGTCTCATATCCTTGGTGATCCAAGTAGTAACACCACAATGTGCGTGGTCTTATGTTCATTGGACGACCATTTCCTGACCGTTTTTAGTGCCTGACACTAAACCGATTTGTAATAGAACCTTGCTCGTACCAAAGGTTGTTGCTCTTTCTTCCCATAAAAAACCGGATCGATCAACGCGAAACTGACGAAATTCTTTTGGAAAAACAGGCGGCCTTGTAACTGTGGGAAGCCGTACTACAGGCAGATCGGCGATGTCAACTGATTCATCACAGTAGTTCATATTGTCATTCGTACTTTATACACATAAGTAGCTAATATTGCGCGGTATTTTACATGGTGACGTTTTGCCGCTCTGTTTGTGAGTACCTTGGTTGGACGCGCACATTTATCGCCAGCGGCAGTCCATCATTATGTTAAAGTTACTTCGCCGTTCTCAATGGATCCCCCAAAAAGCGCCGCATAGATCAGCCAGGGTTTGATACGTCTAACCAGACACCCGTGATGGAATGAAATTTTAATTATCGCGCACTGCAGTGCTATTATGGCTCACTTCACTGTTATCCCCCGTAAAGCTTCGATTTCCAGGGAAGTCCCATTACCGTTGACCATCAGGCTGATTTTGACACAGCTCTGCATTAAGTCGACTAAACCGCTGACTCCACAATAAATATCAAACGTAAGTACCCCATTTCCCAGTGCCCTACTGAAAGAAGTGCTCGGATCGTTGGAACTGTGGAGGGGGCCAAATGTACCACCTTCATTTAAGGTGGAAATCATAGTATGGAGCGACAAGTAAAGTAGCTAAAGGCGACTCTGGTAGGTAAAACAGGAAGAAAGAACCCAGAGTGAGGCTTGCTTCTAATTTTGAACGCTAAGTATCACCTAACGCTTAAGTTGCTCAATAGTTAGGATTTTCATGTTTTCACATTGGAGACATTAGATGTCATAGCTTTGAGGAAGAGTGAAGACTGAGGAATGGCTCGTTACGTTGGGTCTGCAGACTTAAGCAAGCCCGCGTTACCATCTCTGCGAACTGAGCTGAAATCTAATTTGTGGATTAAACAACCGATAGGCGAGTGTCGGATGAGAGAAAACAAAAGATTGATTATGGCATTACTAGAGGATGTTTGTACGCTAAATTCAACAAATTCCATCCTGAGCACCTCACTTAATCAAATATAAGCAGGCATAACTCGGGGAAACTTACTTTGAACTGGCACCGGAGACCGAAAATTTAATCAATGCGTCAAATGTTTGCACTTTCTGCGGATTAAATGTCACCTGAACGATCATGGTCTCCCCAGGACCGATGTGGCCTTCTTTAAGATCCAACGAAAAGGCTCCTGAACCCTCCTGCAATAGAAGAATGTAAAAAGAGTGGAAAAATCAGAAGTATGCCCTTGGGTTCCATCTTACAGAACTTTATTCTACAAATTCTAGATCCTCATCTTTGAAGAGAGCCTAAAGAGGTCATATCACCATCACTGTGGTCGCTAGTGTGCAGACTTAAATACAACCTAACTAGGATCACGCTAAAATGTCTCGACCTACAGATATAGTTTTCCAACTGCTGTCAATGTTTTCTCCCATGTAATCCGCCGGAATCTTTTTTGTCAAAAATCCCACTACTGTTTTACAGCATTTACAGCTAGAATGATTGTTTGTAACGCTAACCTTCTTAAATTAGAGGGGCACATAATAGAAGCAAAGAGACAAGTCCCAGGAAGTAGTCTTGAAGAAGGAGACACGATCGCCGGGACAAGAGCTTTATTAGCCTGGCGTTTCGGATTCCTACTCGAATCTATCATCAGAGACAAAGAAGCAGAAACGGTTGGTTGTTGCACAAGGGGCTGCGGTATTTATAGGATGCAGTAGCCATGCGGTAGTCGATCTTATGCCGCTGCCTGACGCAGCTGCGAGGGGTTCGGCTCGTCAGTGGCTTTTAGCTAATACCTGTGTTGTTAGTACGGTGAATCATTGCACAGTTCTATACTACTGGCTGCCTGTTGGCGGTTTGTGAATATTAAGCGGTTATTCCGCAGTAGCTGACGGATTTCAGCTGAAATATTCATATCAAAATTTGAAACGTGCCTGAAAAGGCGTGTTTCGAAAGATTTACTTCAAGTTCGCGCATTAATTTCCTCGGAAATTAAACAAGGCAAGTTAAAACTGGAGTTCATATATCAGAAAACACACGGGGAAAGCTGGGCGACCCACTGGCGAGCCGAATCCCTCGCAGCTGCGTTAGGCAGTGGCATAAGATCGGCCAAACACGCGTGTCTGGGCTTTTAGCTAATACCTGTGTTGTTAGTACGGTAAATCATTGCACAGTTCTACACCTTTCCCTGTTAGTGGAGGAACCTACAACCCCCAATCCCCTCCCACAAAAGTAACCTATCATTCTTGCGTCCCCGGACTGGTTCTCAAACCCGTCACCAGGGATGCATCGAAGTGACAGAGCGAACGGCCTGATTGTGGAAACCAATCAAACTGCTGTGTCCTGCGCTTCTTCGTGTGACTGCGTCGACCTTGGTGACAGTCACCAATCAGGTGTCTAGGTTGCATTCATGGGGTTAGCTGAATAAGGCTCGCTAGGATGGACTGATGACCAAATTTCCACTCCCCCTACATCTCCAGCGCAGTCTTGCTTCGATGTGGTGGCAATGTCAAGGGCATGATTTTATTCTGAACTGTGGACAGTTGCGAGTGATTGCGGATCACGTCGTCGAGGAACTACTTGATGATGCCACAGCATTATCTTCAGTTTCCTCCCCGCTTGACCTGCGTGCTTGAAGAGACAGTCAACCTTGACTTTGATAGAGACGTCACTGCTCGAGGTCCATAACCCAAGAAAAGCTCTTCGGATGCGTCTGTGTCGGGAGCTGTGCATTTGGAGCTATTCAACGTCCATGACTGGCCTGCTCAACAGTTGGAGCCTGTGTCCACTCAAGACGCATCCAACGGTCATCGCGCAATGTCAGCCGACCATGAATTTTAAAACAAAAACAAAACGGCCGCGGTAAGGTGAATGATCCTAATTAGCTGTTGGTAGACTGTGGATCGTGTGCTGATGGGTGTGCTTGCAAAATCTAGGCAAGGACCCATGACTAGCAACTGTACCCAAGAGCGGAGAAGAAAAAACTGAGATTAACTGAACATGAATTGTGGGATGACAGAAATGTCTGCCAGAGGATAGGATCAGCTGTTAGATTATCAGGCACTCTTTCAAGATTGAACACCATGGGCTAGCCAACTGGATATCGTATCTGTACACATGCATCATATTAATCGAAAGTGTCGTTTTGGTCACCAACCGTCTTCTGTGTTTTCCTGAATTACGTCAGCCTACTCTCCAGCGTGCTGCCCCGCCCGCAAAACCTCCTATTACCACCACTCTCATAGGACACAATCCACAGTACACTGACAGCTAATTAGGGTCCTTCACACTATCGTCCCAACAAAACAATTAACTAGATATATGGGAGGGGACCAGGCCCTTGCCGATGATGTATATGTTTGCGTGACCTGGACCCTCCAGAAAGAAGATCCAAAAATAGATCAACCCCGTGGTGGGCGTATGCATCAGGCTTCCTGCTCTTTGAAGTTCATTCTGCTCGATAATAAGGTTTTTTTATGAATTCCTGAGCCGGAAGGTGAAAAAGTGGACACATGAATATCCAGATTCCAATTCCATTTCCGTGTTAGCGTGCAAGCTTCTTGTTCAGTGGTTAAAACGAGGCAATGAAAGTGTCAGCAGTGAAAGCCTCATGCTTCCTCGTATACTTCAATTCCAATGCCTCTGCACAGGGTACTGTGCGTTTGGTTAGTCATTCAACGTCTATGACTGGTCTGATTAACATTTGGAATTCGTGCCCACGCAAGACACATCCGACGGTCATCGAGCAATATCAGCCAACCATGAATGTTCAAATGAAAAAACGAAAAAATCCTTTTTCAGTAACAGAGTGCTTTCAGCGTGGAATGCCCTGCCTACTGATGTTGTACTCTCCTCCTCGGCGCGTATCAAGCATCCCACTAACAGGCTCACATTCTGTCACTTAAACCGGTACCAACTAATGTGTTTATGCTACTTGCAATTAGTGAGTAACCGTTAATGAGTACTCTTTTTCTACTGGCTGGCAGCTGTCTTCAATCAGGTAGAAAATCTCTTTTTCAATTTTGTACTTATCCGGATTTTCTCAAACGATTTGTGACCAATAGAGATTTAAAAGGCGCTCTCATATATTTCCCTTAATAAAATTAAACTGAACTGACCTCAAATTTCCAGAATAGAAATCCGAAAAAAATTAACCTTCCAATCCTCTAAAGTTCCCTCGGTTGGCTAAGGATATTTTTTTCTCTCAAAGAAGCTCAGCCACAAAGTGGAAAAGAAGACACCTGCATATAAATATTCAATGTCCATGGTCCAAGTAATTAGACCACTTTTTTAGCCTGGAAACTTCTAAGGAACTTGGGGTAAATCCTGCGGAACAAAGCTGCTCAGGCTCGCTCCGAAAGATGGTATGGGCTGAAATTCATCAGCTACTGCGGGATAACCACACAATATCCAAAAGCTGTCGACAGATAGTCAGTAGTATAAAAAGACAGCCAGGAAACTGGCGTTCATAATAAAAAAGAACGCTGATGAGCTGACCCCCCCCCCCTCGTTGCGTCATGCAGCCGCGTAAGATTGACGAAAAACGCGTGACTGGGTTTTTAGCTAGTATTCGTGCTGTCAGTATGGTAAGTTATTCACTACTTGTAGGGACATTCAGTGAATGGGTCATTTTTTTGCTTTAAAACTTTATCCTTTACCGCGAGAGCTGGCATTGGTTCGAACTGCGCTGTCCACGCCAAAGGCACGACAGAGTGAGGATTGGATAGTTGGATCTTCTGTGTGCTACTGTGGAAGAGCCGAATGATGCCAAACTGTATGTCCGGAACGTCGATCTGTATTGGAGCTGACTGGTATGCAAAAGAACATTCATATAAATTATAAATTATTGAAAAGTGTTCTGCATAAAAATTCGCTACAGGTGCCGCAACAGCTAAATTCGCCGAGCGACAGACTTGCAATGATGACGAAAATTGCACTCTAACAAGGACCTGCTTGAGGCGCAAGGCCGCATACAAAAACAACTAGAAAGTCGACGCCACTTAACTACCTAGCAGTTGGGCTTACGCGGAATTCTGCCTCGAGTCGCAGCCAGACTCTCTGGTCTGGATTGCCGTTCAGTTGGCATGGTAGCAGACATCGCGCGTAGCCGACGGCGTGTGAGGAAAATGTGAGATTCACCACAAATTCCCCTGCGGCTGGAATTGTTCCCTCCTCCTCCCGGACGCAGACTTCAACTGGTGTCCCTTCGCTCATGTTTAGCAGCTCGGCTCCAGTGTCCACCTCAGTGGCTGGAACTGGATCAACCATCGCGAGTGCCTTCTTGGTGTCCCATCGAAAGGCGATGGGGCAGGTTTCGGAACGATTGATTAGCTGAAAGAAAAACAACGGAAGCTAATCCGTGGCTCTCTCTCTCATTCATAGAAAGCTTGCGTCAATGTCCAGTCCTAGGGGCTACCTCGAATTAACCATGGTCAAAATATTTTAGCCCACTTGAGTGGAAACGTTTGGCACAAGGTAATTTTCCTTTTGACAGATGTACAATTCCGATTTTAACCATGATTGTTCGGAAAAATCAAAAAAATAGTAAAACAGATTTTACAATTTTTGAGAAAGGGCTACTCATGCCCTCGAAAAAAGTAGCTATCAGTTGCATGCGGATCAAAACGATGGAAAACTCCAACTTGTTGTAAAGATGTTTCCGCTATTCGTCATCAACTACAGACTGGTCATGCACGCCAGGCCCAAGTTTGCGAAGGGACGCAGGTTATAAACTTATACCACGTGTCAAAACCTTAGAAATACTGATTCAGTATCCGGTCAGATGTGGCTATGTAGCCGCACCTGATATAAACAAACCTCAACCAACTGTAATACTGGACCGGTGGTAGTAGGGCGTTTTGCAAGTTAGGGACGGGAACGCACAGGTAACGGGGTCAAGTAGTTGTATGCAAAAGAAAAGCTATTGGAAATGCGCGATTATACTGTGGGCGGTTGAGAAATAGTTTCCCTATCCCTAACACAACAGTATTGCGTTCATCAGGTGGGCTTCATAAGCACATTTTACCTATTTTTGGATGCCGAGGTTGCAGAATGCACAAAGTCAAATCTACTGCCACAGGGGACGATGTTGGATATCAGTTGGACATATTCATGGCCGCTCGAATAAGCGGCACCCAAAAATAGCTAGGAAGAGAGAGTTTATTATTTCTTTAATTGATATGCGATATCTGTGTGCACGCAATTAACTCTTATCGAAGGAATTTAACATAAATTATGTTCTTTCACACCCTTTGTAGGAAATTACGTCCTCGTCATATTTTACATTTTCGTTTTAAAATCACCTCGCCATGGTTGGCATTTTTTCAGACTCCCGTGTCATTTTCGTATAGACTACTGATTCCAACTTTACATATGCTGTCTGGGAGGTATACAACATAATTTGTGTGTTTTATCCTATTTTGTGGAAACATAAAGTGATGTAATAGTTTAGCTGAAAGAAAGTGCATAGTTGTTAGTTGGGGAACGCAAAAAACAATATGTTCTAAAAAAGAAAACTTCAATCCACCGTTAGAAACTAACGCGCGTCCTTCGTCTAAGAAACAGTTTGGGATAACAACTGCATCTTCTTAACGTCCTATTTAGAAACCGCTCTAAAGTTATATAGAGAAAAGTTCGATCGAACAATGTTCACCATTATAGTAGGAATTATTCCAGAGGTTAATTCGCCCGGATTTTTCGGACGTTGCTATCTACAATGCGGTAAATGGAGAAGGATGGCGCGCTATGATGGGGCAATATTGTAGCATAAGCTAGGCCATCTTTTTATTTAAATATATACAAAAATGTAGCCGGCGTTTTGCAAGTTTTGTAATGCTGAAAGTGCTGAGTTGAAATCGGCGATCTGGGGCAATTACTTGTTGTGTTACATATTGGCTTTTTAACTTAAATTACTTCGCACACCAAAATGGCCTTTTAAGTTCTCAGTATCAATATCGAATTTTCATCGGTCTTTGGAGTGTTTAAACTATTTCCTCAACCAGAAAATTTACTGATGCTCATTGCATGCCTGAAAGGGAATTGATGACTGACAATTAAAGCAAAAATGAAAATGCTATAAAATACTCTAGAAGTAGACTAGAACACGAATTTTATTCGTCTGAATGTTCGGATTCACACTATAAAGTTCAGTTTTTACAGGACGCAGTCGCTACGCAATCGCATATCCATCATAACCGGCCGTCCACGAATTATTTGCAGACGATTGTGACTGGTGCAATAATTATTTATTTGTAGTTTCGTAAGGGCGCACCATCGTAAGTTCAGGTTCACTTTTATGAAGCGGAAAGCAAGATTTACCAGTCATTACAACTGCGGCTGATGCTTAGAAGGAATGTCTGCTCACGCAATTTCCTCAATCGGTACATATACGAATAAGGCAAAAGATCAAGCTGCATCAGCTTTTATTTCTAGTTCTCGGTGCCGTACGCTGATAAATTTTTAAAATTCGTCAGCCGCCTTCGGACGACAGCTGAAGTTGGGGGTTGAACGTAGTGCGGAGGCAACCACCAGGACCCCTGTCACAGTATGGGACGCCTGGATTCGTTTACCGAATCTGGTGCATTTGCGAGTAAGACGACATCCTCGAAGAAACTAGGAGGTTACTCTGGACGCGGGGAGCTGAACATGTATCTGCAGCCCTCACACCCCGGCCTACTTCGCAGGACTTAGCCTTACGTCCCCGTCTGGTGAAACACGAATTCTTGTGTGAGATGACAACCGTTTGAGTTGCAGGCCGCGTGAAGTATGATTCACTTGCCTGAAGTCCATCGATGAACACAGTGCCCTTCCGCTTCCTTCTTAATACTAAGAGTTCCTCGTAAGAGTAGGTAGTCAAGCGGAGAGAGTGTAGTGTAGTGACGACAGCAAATACGAAACAAATTACATCGTCGTTATCATCCCAGTCGCCAAAACTTAGTGACATAGTCGCGGTCATTCACGACGCAGAGGCAGGCGATCGAATAAGCATCGGACCATGTAGGACCATCTAAGAAGGATGTGAAACAGGCCAACTGTGATAGCTATGCGATTGCATATGAGTTGCACTCATTGCGTGTCCATTGGCCTCGTGCGTCGCTTTCTCTGATTGTATGATCGGTTGTGAATTCGGGACGTCTGGCGAAAAAAATTTGTGTTCCTGTGATAGCGTCAAGGCCTGTAAAGCAGATACCAGATTCCACTAGTAGCTTTCTGCAGTAAGTTAAAAACAAGCTGAATAACAGGTTTGGCTTACACGAACAGACTGTTGAATTGATGTAAAGGTAAAAGTCGGTTCAGGCATAATGATGGATTCGGGCTCCAGACGAATGTCGATTGGCTGAGTTTCTGCGGAGACCTCAAGGTAAATCGCCTGTAGAGGCTTCTGTTGTTCAAAAGTCACCGATGGCGTTGTTGAGACGCAGCGTACCGTCAGAACTCCCATAAGAAGAGCGTTACCCACCTGTGGATGAGGGTGTATGCAAGAATTTAACAGTTTAACTACTTATAATACATGAGCAGCTCGCTAAGACTGCAACAGGCCAGACGCAGACAGATGTTTCACGGTCGGTACCGATAATCAGTGCGTCATAGGTCTTATGAAGTCAGGTATATAAGCATGTCAAATGGGTGTTTGACCCTCACTGTAGTGGTTAGGATCTCACTCGATCCCATTCTGTCCGCCCGCCAGCTTGCTACTGGCGACAACGAACGCTGTGTCATGGGACACATACTACTTATAATACATGAGCAGCTCGCCAAGACTGCAACAGGCCAGACGCAGACAGCTGTTTCACGGTTGTTACCGATCATCAGTATGTCATAGGTCTTATGAAGTGAGGTACATAAGCATGTCAAGTGGGCGTACTGACGTACTGATAATTGGTAACGACCGTGAAACAGCTGTCTGCGTCTGGCCTGTTGCAGTCTTAGCGAGCTGCTCATGTATCATATGTGGTATTTGTCCTATGACACAGCGTTTGTTGTCGCCAGTAGCAAGCTGGCGGGCGGACAGAATGGGATCGAGTGACATCCTAACCACTACAGAGGGTCAAACGCCTACTTGACAAGTTTAACTACTGCATAACGCAGTGTCATCCAAAGTTGTCAAAGAACCATCCACTCTCAGTCTCAAATGCGCTGCCGAATGGGCGGGATTAGTGAGGCAAGTTTACAGCACCGACAGGTATAGGGCATTACCCAGAGAAGATGCACGATTGATGAAGTGTGACATCCCAATGATACTCTTTGCAGATAAAATGCCAGAATTTAAATAAGGTTCAATCAGGAATGGACGTGCACCGATCTATTGTCCTCCCAAAGCAAACAAGCACCATATGGGTTTCATAGGTCACGAACAAGCAACCAAATAGCAAGCCGAAGTCGGCTAAGTTATAATAGCAGACGGGGATATTTATATTCTACGGCTGGGGTCTTATTCTGCCTTTATTCAGCCAGTCGTAACCCTGACCACCAGCTGGGACCAGAAACGCAAACATGCACTTTTTCACGCTGCAACTGGTCCACAGACGGGGTCTGGTTGATGGGTCATAACTGGATGAATGCAGAATAGCCCAAAGTAGAACAGTATCAATAAACCCATGTCCTCTGTAATTTCTCTTTTTCACACAGTACCCCTCTGCAAGTCCAAAAGTCTGCTTTTATAAGCGTTTTGAAATAAAAAACACATATTCTCAGAAGCGCGTATTTGGAAATCTGAATTTCCTGCTTTGAGAAAGTTCCTTAATGTTGCCCTTTTTAACATGTCCACTCACATACTATATTTCCTAAAATTGTCGCCGGCTTTATAGCGTAGATCTCAATTTGTAAATTTTGCAACAAATATGTCTAGAGGCGTGAAGTCTGATGAATTAGGCATATCCCTGACGTCATTTTTATTCTTGTCATTTTTGCTACTAATCGTTTGTTAGTAACCAGATTTTACTCATACCGGCTGTACCCCTATTCGTCAGTTCTCGTCATTCCTTGTTCATTGTTCTTGGAACATGGAATCCCACATCTTTCAGGGCCTCTGTAATGCCCAGCATAACAGGCAATCGCAGCAATAAATGGGACCAGCCCCGGTAGCACACTGTCACTCTTGGCAGATCCCCATGATGTTCCAACATGTCGTGCGGATTCTCAGGCCTCCATTAGGTGGAAATGAGGTAATTGGGTCAACCATATGTTTTAAAAGTGACGTCATCACTCCACACAGTTTTTGTTTTAAAGCGAGCATTTTCAATGTACTTTGTCAGGTACCGTTCGCAGTGCTCAACTCTTTGGTCTGATCGTCTTCAGTGATAGCACTGTCCACTCCTGGGGTACAATTTTTTCAATGCCAGCGCTTTAAAATATGATCGACAGACGATATAAGAATTTTCCCCTCAAAACTAATAAAGCATAGACGTACGTACTTTTGAGAGACCTATACGTAAATACAATATGTACATTTCAGGAAACTGTCTATCGAAGATATATGCAAATGTTTTGAGAGCAGAAGTGAATATGCAAGCCCACTGAAAAAAACAGAGCACAGGGATCCCTGAAATAAGAGAAGAATGGACGTGGCAAGAAAACAGAATTTGCGGAAGGCATTGAGAAGACTGGCATTTTATGCTGTGCGTTTGTTTTACTACGCCAACAGGGTGTTAAATACTGACGCGTAATTTGAAAGATGCGGTGTACGGAGGGAAAACAGGTAGTCCAAGGTTACCGGCTAAATAAGACTGGCTTTGGTAGGACGGAATGCGGTAGGTAAACCTAAACTTAATTCCAACCCCAACCCTTTCCCTAACCCTAATCTTTGAACTGACCCCAGCTTTAACCCTAAATTTAACTAGATTCCTGGGCTCAAGCATGAAGGTAAACCTAATATGACATGACTATGAAAATCAAATAAGTAGATGTGTGACAGTAGTGAGGAAACTGGCTCTCATACTTAATTGTTATCAGTTTAGTATATCCGCCCACTTCAGCATGGAAAAAAGTATTGGGACGTTCTCGCGGAACAGGCATATCCAGCGAACTTTAAAAAGTTTATACGTATACGGAGGGAAGGAGTGCTGAAAAGGCATAGCACATAGTACATTTACGAGAGACGAAAGCAGCCTGTGTTTTTCAAATACTGTACCAGGAATAGTCATGAGTGCAGAACGATTACCTGTCGATTCCAGCACAGATAAACAAATAACCTTTTTTTTAGCACTAGAAACTGATGACCGAAGTATAGTCTATGCCGTACAAACTTTATACTAAATAAGAAAGGAATAAATTTTGCACCATTTATCATGTCGAAAACACAGGTATTAGCCAAAAGTCCAGACAAGTGTTTCGCAGCTGCGGGGTGATTGGACCCCATCAGGGGGTCCCACAGCATTCTGGAGTGAACATGGGGAGTTGGCAAGCTCGCTTAAAAAAATAACACGATCCGCCGACGACTGCTTTGTACTAACGTAGCAGGCAGATTTAGAACAACACGATTTTCTAACTTACCGGTAAGTAATCCTTCAGTAGAGACTAAAACCGAATCCGCGAAAACGTAAGGCTACCAGCATCTAAATTTTGCTGACCAGAACTGTAGACCTCAAGCCCTAACAGAAGGCAGTCTATCTCGTAAAATTTTGACCGAGATTTCGGATCGTATTTTTGATGGTATTTAGATTGGTATGGTAACTATTCTGCATCAAAACTCCAAGATAATTCAGTCGCAGCAGGATGTCGGCTTTTTGGACACACTTCTTTCCGGCCACCTTCAAAGGCCATAATCTGTAAAAATGACTACTTAAGTAGTAGGCATTCCCTTGTTTATTTTCAATGCCTTTATAAATTCAAATACATTTTACAAAAAACATGCAAGAAAATGCTCCTTCGGAAACAACTTAGTAATAAATTACGTCTTATTTAAAGGTTATACCCAATGCAAGGCTGAGTTTTGGTTTCAAAATCGTTTTATAATTTGCGAAAAAAATCTGAATCCAAACCACCCTTGTGTTTTGCATTTAAATCTTTCCAGTCACAAGCTGTACAATTTCGTTTAAGGGAAATTGCCACATCCCTCTGTGTTTTTACGGAGAGGCCATATAGGAAGAATCAAATTTTAAAACGGATATGGAGCATGTTGTATAGGTTATAGGGGACAATGCATAAGGGCACCGAGGCAATGCTATGTGATTGGAAATTCCACGTTCTTAACGAATCCTATAATTGCAACGTTTTGTTAAATCGAATGTTACCCTTTAATCAAATACTAAATTTTAGGAGGGCGTAATTAATTGTTGAGTGAGAAGTTTTGCGGCACACTAATTCATCTGATGTGACAGTGAGGAATGAGAGCAAGGATGGGCAAATGTAATCCTGTCATCAGGAATTCAGCGCTTTGAGCGCGTTTTTAACAAACCTCAGTCGACTCAAAAATCAGCTCGCCGGTGACGGACGTTTTGGCAAGAAGAAGGGTCCGTTCCAGTAAAAATTCCAAGGTCGTATTACTTGTTGTCCTGTTAGAATCACTTAATTTGCGCTCCTTTTCCTCATCCACGCACTGGTCCGTCCGCGCACCAGAAACCCATTGGAGCTCCAAATCTATGGTACTATAACGGCAGGAAATATGAGTGAGAAACGCCTAACTGGGCAGACCAGAAAATCAAGAAAATATGCTGAGTGCAGAGTTTCAGTCGTCATTTCAGTATTTTTGGCAAGAAAAAAAAACAGATTGCGGGAAGACGTTCTGCCTTTGTTAGATGCCGATATATAGTCACAATTTCAGTTAAAATAGACCAAGGACTACTGTGCGCCCTAAATTATGAAACGCCAAGTGGAATTGAAAATGCTGTAAATATATTTTGGCCTAAGCATGATTACCTCACTTCCCCGAGCCTTGCTACTATTAAGGGGGTAAATGAGACTCGTTTAAGACAAACTGTCACTCATTTTAATCACAAAACAGTTCTGTCGCGTCAGGATGCTGACTTTCGGTCGTGCCTCTTTCTGGACGCTTGTAAAAATTACCCTTTGCAAAAAATGGCTACTTAAGTAATATTAATTGTTCCTATTCATTTTTGATGTGTTTATACATTCAGATATATTACATAGCAGAGATGTACAAAGACAGTTTATTTGTGCTTATTTGGTAGTAAATTATGTCTTCCTCAAATTTCGCGCTTGAAGAAAGCGTATTTTGCTTCTAAAACGTTCCTACTTATGAGGTTTTTAAGACAGTGAAATGACTACCTATGAAACATCCTATCGGTCGATTTACTAAAGCCAACTTGCAAATTTTAAAATATGGTCCATTTTCACTGCAACATTTTGTGAGCCATTTTTGATATCCTCCTAATAGCACATGCAAATGTGTGACTTTTCATAAAAGAAACACATGTAGCTTGTAGTATGGAAACTCTGGATATGAGTGCAACGGTAGGTCAGATTTAAAATTACTGGGAAATTCAGAGGGCTTCCTGAAGCCGGCGGATACGCTTTCCTCAAGCATAAAATTTGACTGCTGGATTCAGCGGCTGACTGAAGTGCATTTTTCCATCCAAGACGTGTCGCATAGACGTGCATAGACCCAACACTTATATAAATACAAACTTGCGTGGATTGAAAACAGAAAAGAAATATTAAAGGTAGTATAACGTCGTTAAGGAATATCATTTTTTTTCAGGAAAGGGCGAAATTCCAAGGATGTCAGAAGTGTACTTTAGTACACTTCGGTTTTCGATAAGCAAAAAGCATGTCCATTCGAAAAACTAAAAAAATATGACAGCAAAAATGGAATTTTGTTTAAAAATAGTCCTTGGGCGAAGGCTACATCCAAACATCCCTTACGAATAAGTGAAATGGCAATTATGGCGGTTTGCTAACAGACTACATTCTCAGTATGGATTCCACAACGGTTTCCTGAGAATTTGTTGTATTTTCTACCATTTGCATTGGTTTAAATGTAGATCAATAATGTAAATAGGATTTTGTCTGATTTATTCGATAGAGAAATCCGAGGAATAATTGTTTATATAAAGTCACAGGTTGCCAGTCCGGTCGTTAATAATGAATTTAGCAGATAGAATCGCAATAATGCCATTTATTGTAAGTGGAGAAGACACTCCAAGTTCTGCAAGCTTCACTTAGTAGAACTCTCGAGGGTAAATCACTCGTCCCTCAAAGAACGACGCGCTCAGATATGCAATCGAAGCCTGGGTTAAGCACTAGCATATCAAATTGTCTAAATATGTCGCAATCTCCAATCTCGTCCAAAGGTACGAACAAATGGCTTGGTAAAATTGCGTATACACATTTTCTGCGCAAGAAAAGCCCATTCACTTGAGGGGGCTGGACGGGTGAGCACAACGCGCAACGTTTAAGGCTTCCGGAAATTCTTATGTCACATTCTGTCATCAAGTTTCATGAGCTAGGTCACGTAGGGTAGGCATTTGTGCAGACTCATTGTAGCTATTGGCTGGTCTGGTTTGGTCTAGTCAAACTCACCTGCAAGGGTGCCCGTTTGGGAGCACAATTCAAAGTATGCGCAAAGCACAACCACGAAGCGCCCCGTAAACGTATGACTCAAAAGTACGCAGTGCAGTGCGCCACCCTTTGTGCCCAAATTCATCCGCCGTCATTCAGAACCTGGACGCCATGTGTCTTATAGAAAAAGGTTAATCCATTTTCAAAAAACTCAACGATCTGTCTTCACACCTGGTCTACGTTTCTGCGCGCGTGAACTATTTTTCTATATTGCCAGGGCATGTAGCAAGAAACTTGGGGCAAACGATGGACCCCCTGTATAATTTTTTTTCAATCAAAAAACAGCAAGCGTAAACTTTTTTTAAAGAAATGCCGGGCTGCTGTATGAGGCACGAACTGAAGGACAGAACGTACTTATTACTTGAGATGGAAAATCGGCGTTTCGACCGAAACTCGGGACACTGCGGGGGCAGTCGACAAACTGCCACAATATTGCCTTCAACTGTAGTAGAGTTCCGGAACAAACAGAGCTCTTTGTCGGGTTCACCGTTTTCCTCAGATATTGAAAGTGCGAGACGTTCACCCTCACCTGCTCAAACAAATTGTAAGCGAAGTTTAAATATTTGGTGCAGATGATAAACCAGTTACTTAATTCTAGCAAGTAGCACGTTTAATTTTATATAAATGGTTACTGGGGCCTTGGGCGGAATGATGAGTTCCGTTAGCTGAGGTCAAATGACAAAATGCTAATTTCAGACCTCCACAACCCGGGCTTAAACATAAACTTTCTGGTTCTCCGGCATTAAGTCAAACGCCCTACCGATAGACCATCAGTTTTTAACCTTGCATGTCGCGGTCAGGTATATAGATTCACACGGGATTGGCGTCTCACCGGTTTAATTACACCACTGATCATCACCGTCATGCCTTGTCTTCTAGCTTCTTCAAGAATCTTTGCAGACTGTTGAGTAGGAGTAGGTAGTGCAAATGGAGGGCACATCGGCAAAGATGAGGGAGACTGGACTAATCATTGTCAGATTATTAATCGTCACCTGACAATCGCACTCTGCCGAGTGGGCAGATCGGTTGGGCGATATTTACATACTAATGAGTATTCTTAATCACAACGGATAGGATGGCGACCTAACGGCTTATCAGTAGATTGCCAGACCTAGTGCTCAAAAATAAAAAAACCTCAGGTTTGAACTCCAGGCGATGGAAACCAGACGATGGGTAATAGGCCAGATCAGTAAAATGCTGTTTAACATAGTTGAATGTTCTTGTGGTAAGGTCAGTATGTGATTGACAGGCGACTACTTAAACATGATGCATCTTGGCATATTTATCTCAGTTTTTAATAAATTTTAACGCAGTTCCTGACTCCCGAATTGGTCTCTCTTACTAAGCGAGGAGATTTGATTGAATTTTACAAAAACACGATGATATACTAGGGCGGATTTGTTGTAATGAATAGGTATGATACAGGGAAAAAACACAAATTATTCGAAAAAAACAAACGCCCACTGAATATGGTCAAAAGAAGGATGAATAATGATTGTCAGCTTAGAAATTTTGAATGAAGCATTATAGCTGAAAATAAACGTACCGGACAAGCCTTATAGATTTTCAAGATTAAAAAGTTGGGAAACAGTAATAGGTCGTGGTAAATCAACACTCCGAAAAGAGTACTACAGCTCAAACCCTACAGGTTATTGGCCGTGTCTGAGTAGAGGTTGTTTGCGACTTCAGGAGTGCGTGATGTGGAGGAAATGTTTCAAGCTGACAAGAGAGGAGCCTGCGTTTTCAATCAGGTATTATAACAATCTTAGTCTTGACACCAATTGACGGGCATTTTCGAGAGGACTTCAGTAATGAGGATCCGAACGTCAGCATTTTGCCGATCATGAAAATATTCCATACACTACCTCACGAGACCCATGAGAGCTGATCACCCGACGTCTTACATCTATGAATATGATGTCTTGCATATAATCCTAGACATAATTTCGACTCACAATGACAGCTCTCTGGCCTACATTTGGAGTAAAAGTAAGAGAAAGCCACAAATTTCAATTTCGGTCTTTCTGTTCCTGCCGGAAAACCTCCGTCAATTGCAGACTGCTTTTTGCTACGTAATTTTTTGATAGGGTACCGCCTCGGTCTCCAGGGGAAAGCTAAAAGGGATGGGTCGCTTGTGTGCAGTTTGCTTACAACTGGCCTGATTTCAGAACGAAATACGACTGTCCGGTTTTGGTATTGCAACTTTAACTTGGAATCCTTATAAGAGGGGGACAGAAGGATGAACAAACGATAACCGAAAAGCGTTGCCGGCAGCCAGCGAGTATGCTTGCCCAATAACCAGGACGAGCCCGGTTGCACATCAGTAAAAGGTTGAGCATGCGAGCATCCAAGCCTAGTACCTCCCTTTTGTTATGATCCGGTCTGATGCTCAGAAGTCATGCGAAGCGTATGCACCCTCGACCGTTGTTCCCAACACCAGCACGACAGAGAAAAAGAACCCGACCAGCCACGAGAAAGTGTACTAACAACCCACAAGTCCTTTTCACTGTAAAACTGCATGTATTTATGGCATCCCGTTCAGGTTGGCTAATATTCCGTCCAATCCGCTTCAAGATAAAGCTCTAGGAGAGCCGATCGGCTTCTCGCAGACATGGACCAATCAGAACTGAGGGGAGCACTATAACCACAGCCAATGCGGGACGCTGTCGAGCGCATGTTCACGGTATGCAGCATGCGAGACGCGCGCATGTGCTTTTCTGTGAGATTGACCCTTCGTGGGAATGTCGACACTCCCAACACCCTTCGCCCCTAAAACTATCTCTCCGATTTAATCATCATCACCGCCAGTCATTTTCCTCTTCTATCTGCAGTTGAATGGCTTCTAAAACGCTTCGGGGGAATATTCGCTCGTAAATTGTGTTTGGAGACAGGCCTATCTGCATGAAATAACATACCGCGACACGTTATTGTGGTCAATAGCATCTCCCCGTCCACATGAACTTCAAACGTCGTCTCAAAGGGTCCTGCAGTGTTGGGGGTGAATTCAAGAGACATTGTTACACTGCCTTTGACTGGAAGTTCGAAAGATGCGGGCGTCAGTCGAAATATCTCCAAGCTCAAGTCGGAAGAGCTGTTAACCTGTGAGAAGGTAGATAACGAGCAAATCTGAAAGTCACCTTAAAGAGGGGAAGTATAGAAACAAGGTGTTCGCTTGAATTACCCATCACTTTTTCATGAACTACCGTTCCCGACAAATCGCTCTCATTATAACCCTATAGTGCCTGCATAAAAGCGCTGCATAAATGGCTCCCGAATACTAGACCAACGAGATTGGAGTTAGGCATGGTCTGTTGATTACGGACCTTTGTCAAAAAGATAAGGTTTTAGCGCTGGCGATCTCTTTTGCAGTTGCGTAAACGGCACTGTGAACTTAAAAAGACATTCATTCAAGAACACGATAAGCGCCTGACATTTCGGGCTGTAAGATGTCTGCCGAATCGTTAGAGAAGCCCCCGAACTAACGCATGGTCTCTTGTAATTCTTCGTGAATCTTCCTGAAATCAGCCAAAAAAACCAAAGCTTACAGGGCGCAAGACACCTGGTACGCTAATCCTCCCATCACCGCGGGCAGTATGAGACTGGGTGGTAAGAACAAAGTCACCACTTGGAAGTACTCATTTTCCGCATTCGTCTTGCCGAAGGCGTCCCCAGAGGACCGGTGAGAAGAATCTCACGACTGAGTTATCCTCACTCGTCGGCGGAAGTAGCTTAACTACAGTAGGTGGGCTAACTCATGAAATGCCAACCGAAATTCCGAAATGCGTTTTCGTTTAGAAAAGATTAGTTAAGTAGGTTTTTAGAACAAGTCAGCCTGCAAAATAATTCTATAATATTTCAGTAACCTCATGATTCCGGCTTTTGGATGAATTTACTTCCGGCTGCATACAAAAACTACACTCTGTAAAAAATCCCTACTTAATTAGCATGCATTTTTTCCGTTGATTTTCGATGCCCCTAAAAGTCCAATTACATTTCATGGAAAACATGCGCAAAAATATTCATTTTTTGCTCATTCGGTAGGAAATTACGTTGACTTCTTATTTTATATTCGAAAGAGGGACATTATTCGACTTTAAAAGGTTTTTAATTGTGTGACTTCTAGATACCGTGGAATGGCCGTTCATAAAATGTCATGTCTCAGCATTTACCAATGTGGCTTTTAAAGTTAACCATATGGATTAAATAAACTGCCGAATTGTATGAACCCTATATAATCCGCCTTTAGTACCGTAGAGAATTGTGTGGTTTTCCGTACACGGAAAATATACGGCTTGTAGATTGGAAACCATGAATCCAAATGTAACGGTAGAGCAGGTTTAAAATGATTCGGGAATTGGAAAGGTTTTGAAAACCGAATCATACCCTTCCTTCGACTATAAGATTGGAAGAAGACGTAATTTTCTACCAAGTCAGCAAAAGAATGAATATTTTTGTGCATGCTTTCCATGAAATATAATTGGACTTTTAGGGGCAACGAAAATCAACGAGAAAAATGCATGCTACTTAAGTGGTGATTTTTTACAATGTGCAGTTTTTGCATGCAGCCGGAAGGAAGTTGATTTGGAAGCCGGCATCCTGACGTAACCGAAATATTATAAAAGTATGTTGCAGGCTGACAAGCTTTACAACCCTACTTAATTAATCTTTTCGAGACGAAAACGAATTCCAGAATTTCTGTTGACATTTCATGAGTTAGCCCTCCTACTTTACGTGCTGCGCCGCCCTGCGAACAAACTCCTCTAGGCTATTGTTTTGCCTGAGTTTGGCTCAGGCTAAATGATGACTAACTGAAGGCATGAGTGGACGCTGTGGAAACTGACCCCAAGTCTGCTCCCAGTCAAATTGACACGGATAAACGAATCCCCCGTATTTGACTACGTCATTAATAATAGTGGTTCTACCACTAATTTTTTGAGGAACCAACCAATACCGTTGCCTTCGGCTGAAAATGTCCTCCTCCTCGTTTTTTGAGGAAACACACTAGACGAATAAGAATTTAAAAGAGGGCTGTTGTGACATACTCTCATGGATTTGTGAATGCCTGGAACGTCGGCACATCAATGAAACGCTTGCTATCCTGCCCACACGCGTCGGCTGATCCCTGGAATTCTTGTACGCCATTAAGGGCGACCCTCATTGGGCTGGTCTGAACACTGTGTCCTGATCAGTCGATCAGCATCATGGCCTTCAGGCACGCTTGGCTCAAACTGGTCATAAATACTTCCCAGTACTCTTTATTAGTCGCATGCACGTCGTCACCCAACAAAAACTGTCTGCTCAACGTGTGCTGCCCGACTTCTGAGATAGGGACAGCTGGTTATTGTGCGGCCCCCACTTGGAGCCTTCGAAGGACAATGATTGTTGAGGGCCTACTGTCACAGACGTCATATTCCTTTCGTGAACAGTCATATTTCCTTTCGTTCAAATAGTTAGAATTGGGTGGTCGTTGGTGGCCATCTGGGTAAGGCAGGGCTATGAGCAGCCCCGTCTTGCATGTGACCTTGAGCTAAATTCCATTTGAAGCTAGGACCAGGATGGTTAGGGCTGGGTTTAAATTCGGGACATGGAAGGGGTACCCTTTCGAAATTCAGCACATCGCCACCTACAGTACGATGCGTGGGGCGTGTCCCTATTTCCACGCCCAATCAAAGTTCGCATGTGAAATAGCCGACATTTCCGTCCGGTTAGCCACTGACCAATGGCAATGGAGGCTGACTGTTTGTGTTTTGGCTAACCTGCAATTTAAGTCGTGCTATACAAGTACTCACCCGTCAACAGCTCTAACCTCACGAGTGTGTGCGAAGACTCGAAAATGACGTTTAACGACTGCCGTTGCAGACACAGCCTCCGTACTGGAAGTTTTCAGGCCCCAGCGGTCAAACACTGACTGACACAGGGGTACTCACTGAAGTCGACAGAGACTTTAATCAGCCTTCAAGTATCAGAAGCAAAAAAATGTTTTTAATTCATCCATCGAAAAAAAAACCGGGAAGTGGAGACGGCTACATCTGCTCATTATGCTGTTCGACTACCTCAGAAATGAATATGAATACATCAAGCTAAACAGAAACAGCAGCTTCCTACTCAATCAGAAGCGGGCTGATAGTTTCAAATTATGTCCCAAGAGCAGTCAAAAAAATAAGAGCTGGAACAAAATGCAAATCCGAACGTTAGTGGATCGTAAGTGGCGAATGTACCTAGTGCTTACTTTACGGTACTGCGCTGATAAAAGTACCTGCACATCTTCTGGACATGGTAACTGGCTATAACTCGAGATTAAGCCGAGACGAAGTCCGAGATATGATAAACTTACGGGTTTGATGACAATTTTTGGCAAGTATTTCGACCACTTTCCAAAGTTGCGGATGATTTTCGTCTGTTTTTTAGAGGCGCCAACGAGACATGTCCCCAGATCCCATTCGCGAGGGACTAAACACATAAAAGGTGAATTTCAAGAAAAGGCCTCTTAAGTGGGAAAGTTACAGATAATACGTAAATTTCTACAGCGGAAAAATTCTACATAAGATAATGGCCTGGGCAGAAGGAAAGTTTCGTACAGTGACGGTTCAACTGTGACCCATAACAACGTCCACGACGTGCCCCGCGGGAGGGGGGGGGGCGAATGCAGCGCCGGCCACTTGCGCATGAATTAGTGAGACAGACTTATGCAGCGCCTAACGCGCTCTACCTTCATTCTGAAAACCTGCTCAGCTGACAAGACAGTAACAGGACCTGCGGAAGCGAGTGTGTGCCAGTGGAATGTGGCTGCCTCGTCTGCGGCTTATGAACTAAAATTCGATAACCGTTGATGTAAACAGTGCTCAATGTTCTGCCACGAAAAAGGAAATGGATCGTTTAACGTGAGTTTTGAGAAATTCTCTGGCTCTCAAACATGTATAAAATAGCATACTTCACTGAAGTTGAACCGTCCTAATCAGTTAAAATAAAAATAGACAAACCAAAATGTCTTCTGTGAGAAAAAAACATCCTGGAAGTCTAGGATAACCGGCTTTGTCGCTACTTAGGACAAAGCACAAGAGCCTGAACTTCGTGGACGTTAAAAGTTATCAAATTTCCGACTGGTCGATAACTGCTATTATTTGAGCAAATAGACTTTTGTTAACAATAAAAGTCAGTGTGATGTCCCCAGCTTTGGTCTGCGTAGATGTTTGCGGAACTGGGGATTTTTATGATCCAAAGTACACCGATGAGCTACATGGGGCCAGTCACTTAAAAAGAATAGTTTATATAGCACAGATATTCAGACAAAAGGCAGTAGAACTCACAGTTTATTTGCTCGTGTTTTCTGTGGCCCCTCAGCGTTACAATGAGTGGTGTGAGCTGAGATTCGTACTGGACCTCCAGTTCATCCGAGTACGTTCGCATCAGGGTTGGCTTGAAGAAAATTGTGATGGAACAGGAGAGTCCCGGAGCAACCGTGTTGTCTCCAGCCTCCGGATAATGACCTGAATGTGAGATTGGAATGTACACTTACCAGTTTACTTGCCACAGACTTGGTAACAGAATTTTAAAACAAAGATGTTAAAATTGCAAAGTGATTAGCTTATGATACTGCAATGTTGGTTATGTTAGTTGTCCGGGAAAGCATCGCAGCACTGAGTGATCTTCAGGAGGTTTTAGCAGACAGACAAAAATAAATTAAATAAAAGCCCGCAAAAGAGATATTCGTGCAGTTTAGAGGTTTTTTAACGAAAAATGTACAAAAGCGGCCATTTCACGTGATAGTCAGCTTCCTAAAATCGTTACAAGCATTCTCCGGTTGGACCATTCCTTTGGGACATGTCGTGGGTTGATCGAAGACTGGCGCTCTGATAATAACTATTTGCTGCTGTCATGTAACGGTAAAAATGTGAACGAAAGATTGCAGAGTTCGATTTTCCTTCCCCCTATCTCCTTTCGAATTCGGACTGCTGCTGCAAGCCATTTTACGCGCAAAATGGCCTTTTGTTTGAATATGCTTACGTAAGAACAAGTGAAGCACATTTTATTTTCACTTCGCATGTAGTGCCTGATTCTGGACGTATTTAACAACCACTTCAACACTTACATAGGTTTTTTACTATATTAGGCACTTTTTAGAGTTTTTGATAAAGTTTTACTTTGAAATGGGTAAAAAAGCGAAAGTAAATGTAACTGACTGCAGGTTCAGCTTTTTAAAGCGATCGGGAAAACTAAAGAACGGATTTACCTTCGCCAATTTCAAAGAACTCGGACTTTGGCGGAATGATTCGAAGTGCGCGCGTGAGTTTGGACACATTACGCAGGGTAAGCTTTTTCTGAAGGAACGAAGAGATGTAACCTGCTAAGAATAACATGATATGGTGGCCGAATATGCATTGCCAGTATTTTCATTTAAAAACATGCTTAAATACTCTGATAGAAAAAATGCTTCGCTAGTTTTAATGATCGAAACTTCCAAGACAAGCGGAGTCAATTAGACCAAATTGACTAATTTTTCGAAAAACCCTGCAGGCATAAAGTATTCTGTCAAAATTATGCTTATTAACAGGCACCAGACGCATGTTCCACGTACAACTGGGACAGGAATCTGGTGCCTATTAATAAGCATAATTTTAGTCTTCATACGGCAACGAAAATAAGATAATCTTGTGTTCTGTTGCCGTATGCAGACTTAACTGGAGCAGCAAACTGCAAATAATATTCTTAGATAATGAATTTAATGTTTTCTTTTGAAATTCAAATTTCTGAGCATGGTGCGTGCAAACAACCTAAACAACACACGACAGTGATGGTCGATTTCGCCTGTTACCTTGAACTTCAGGTATAAAAGTGATTAATTTCTAACCGAAGGGAAGATATTATCAGAAATTACAAAATTTCTAAAGCAGTAATTTTAATTTTCCTTTTTATAATGACGTCCTTTCATAAAACTTATTCTGGAAAATTCTAGATTGTCTGCAAAGGCTCCTTTTCAAATAAAATTTTAATCTCCTAGTAAAACAACTCAGTTTGATAGTTGTAGCTGTAATCCCATGTGCTTATCGTAAATTTCTTAAGCAATTCAAATAAGTTACTTGACACCAAAAATACTGGCAAGCTCAACGCAGTAATATGTACCGATAATTTTTATGCCTTCTAAAAGAAGAACATGTGAAAATCAAATGATGATTGTTGAATCTATGTACTTTCGGGAATTTTTGTAAAGCAGAGGCCCACGTCTTACCTCAAATGTTCCACCAGCTTCAAAGGAATCAAATATGAAATCCTTTGGTTCAATGGCGAAGGCATGCAAGTCACCCAAAGAGAGTATCTTTTGCTTTCCGGCATCTGGAAACCTTGGATTTCGCATGAAATTTAGCTGAAAAATGCACCCAGATATTGCTTTAGAAGGCGAGCATCGAGCTCTACATATTTCATTCAACACAGCCCTCACAAAAAGACTTACGGGTTCCATTAGTTTGTGCAGGCCCTTATCTATCTCCGCCACATTTTCACACAAAGTGAGCGGTTTGTATGCTTTATCAGTTGGTTGGGACTTCATAGGTTCTAGTGTTAAAAGGACAGTATACAACTTAAAAGAACTGCTGACAAAACACGCCATTATTAATTGGAATTAAATTTTTTATAATGAGTGCGGGTGGATGTGAAAGTTTTAAAACAGCATTCAACAACCTTACCTGCCACTGGGTAAGACTCATTCAGTACGTTACTTTGAAAAGTGTCCGAACCTTCAGAATTTATAACAAGACTCTTATTCGGATCCATGAAATGATTTAGCAACGGTGTTGGATAACACTGGAGATCGGATGAATTCAAGAAACCATGTTGTTTAAGCAAGGGTGAGTCAAAATTTTCAAGAAGACCTATGGTTCTGAATTAGAAAATTTATCGTAAGGTCATGATTACATTTCTTTCCTTCTAGGAATGGAGTCAGGTCGGCAGTTCTTTCATCTTCTGATATTCTAAAACACTTTGGCAGAAGACTTTCGAGTTGGTCATAAATTTCGTTCTCATTAGCCTTATTATCTCGGATCTGGGAGGATATTAAGTAAGAATTAAGTTACTTTTAACAACTGCTCCACAAACTCAGCATGTCCGTTTTTTGAAAATTCGTACGATGATTTTAAAACATCCAAAAGTGTTTCACAATACTGCTGCTCGGAATACTCATGACCAAAGTACTCGTCGAAAAGTTTCCCAATATCTTGGTTATATTTAAGAGAATTCCTTGGAGGTTGGGACTTCATATCCCTGTATGTTGCGCTAAATTCTGACTTCAGTCCCTATGAAAAAAAATGGGAATGTTAAGAGTACTTATCCAATGCTTTTACGTCAAAACTGACCAAGGATCAATAGAAAACATTTAAAACGGCTCTTTATTTACGTTAAAGGACGTCCAACACGAAGTATTTAAAGGCCGCTGTGCATGCAACAATCGTTGTATTTAAATTCAACGGACAGACTACACCAAAATTATTTTTAAAGATGCTCTAGCGGGTAAACAACGCGTTCGCCGACCAGTTGATGCAGAAAAACAAGGGGCTTGTCGGCACAATAAGGTGACACAGGTAAACGTGCAGAAGAACTACCCCTATTATGTTAGTGATGAGGACTTAAAAAAATAAAAATGGCGTCCGGAGGAGAACTTTTCTCAATAGAATGTATGTGGAACTTTTGTCTTTTGGGATCTAATGCCTCAGGAATAGAAATAATTTCTGTTCAGTTCAGTTTAGTTTATTGAGGGAAATAGGTATAAGCCTTTGAATACCCTATTTGCAACGTAAAATTGTGTGGTATACAGAAAAATGCTCTGGGCTGAAAATGTTCAAACGAGCCCATAATGGTAGGGCAAAATGCGAGTAGGTCACAGGTGATGAGCTTGACCTCCCAGCGCTCTTGGTAATTTCGGAAAATAAATCTGTTAAGGTTCTTTTTAAAACTTTGGATCGATGGTGACATCATGACGTCTGCAAGGAGGGCATTCCATGGTTTTGCCACTCGAACAGAGAAGGAGAACTTACGCACATTTAGCCCTGCCTACTTAGTGCGCAGTTTAAACGGGTGACCTCGGAGTTTGGTCGTGGTAGCAAGTTCAAAAAAGTCCTCGAAGACCATGCTGCAATCTAACCCCATTACAATGCGCAATGCTTGCAAGAGATCCCTGCGAAGTTGCGTGCAACTCAAAAGAAAGAGCTTCAGATTAACTAGGCTGTTTGCATAGGGAAATGAGCTTCACCCGTAACCGTTATCGTGGCTCTCCTTTGAATTCTTTCGAGGTGGTTTTGATGGTTTACCACCTACGGTCTCTAGGCTTGTATGCACTCTAAGTGCGGCCGGACGAATCTTCCAAAAGTCTTAGAGAAAGCGTCTTCGTCGAAGTCCATAAACGCACACTTGGATGCGTACAGTACGGACATTGCACTTTTGCCAATCTCGAACAATGAGCGGATGGTATTAGGGAGCACGTCGTCCGCACACCAAGGTCCTTTTGCGGCCTCTTGTAGGGCTGCACCGTCTAGGAAATAGTCTCTTGTGCTGGCAGATCTGGCTGATTTGCCGAGGCGAAGTGTGCTACAATTTCCAATGTTCAACCCGAAAAGCAGACGGTCTGACCGATCTTCAAACCAATTCAGGTTCATCTGCAGTCTGTCTTCGTCGGCAGGGCCTCGCATTACACTCCATATCTTCATATCGTCGGTAAACATTGGTGCTTCGTATTCTGAAGCTCTTACGGCTTCGTCCACATATATAAGTAACAAAATGGGTAACAATACTGAACCCTGGTGGACACCACTCTCGACCACTTTAGGATCTCATTTTCCTTGAGCGATGCACACAACCTGCAGTCAACCCACAAGGAAGATTCCGATCCATTTAAGGAAGCTGCCACCGATCCCTACTTTTTAGTTGATGTTACAGCCTCTGGTGTGGCACAGTGTCGAACGCCTTCTGGAAGTCGATGAAGGCTATGTGGGCCGCGTGCCTGTCGTCGAGAGCTCGGGTCCAGCTCTGGGGGGATTGCGGCTAGTTTGTCGTGCAGGATCTCCCTTTACGGAACCCATGTTGGTATTTCGATAGCAGGCCATGAACTTCCAGGAATTGCATCAGTTCCTTATGATCCTTTTCATAACTTTGCAGAGAATACATGTCAAGCTTATGGGCCTGTAATTTATCTTCGATGCCCTGCTACCTCCTTTGCATAGCGGCGTGATATGCGCCAGTTTGCAACCGATAGGAAGTGTTCCAGTGTCAAATGACGTTTGAAAGTCCACCGACAAAGGCACAGAAAGCTCTCAGGGAAGTTCCATGCGAAGCTTGGTTGGAATCTCGTCAGGTCCTGGCGAATTCGATTCGTTCAGTGCCTCTAATTCTCGTCGGACAATGACTTCGAGAAGAGTATATAACTGACGCTTGTGGTCGGCAGTTCTTCTGTGAACTGAAGAAGGGACCTTGACCTGTTTTTGTAAACTGAATGGAAAAACTATAAAAAATACGAAAGTGTATCTCTACAACCAGCAACCTCAACGCCATCAGTAGTTCTTACTGGGGGGATTTTACGTCTGTTCCTTGTACTTCGTCGGAGGTAGCTGTAGAGTTATTTCGGGTTCTGAGTTGGTTGTTGTAGCGAATGATTTTCCCATGTCCGACGCATCTAAATAATCATGTTTCTCAGTTTGTTTGTTCTGCGTCTTGTAGGTGTTGAAATAATCAATTTGCCTAGTAACGCAGTATTTTCTCCATAATTTCTGCTTCCAGTTGATTTCTTTCTTAAAGTTAATATTTAGCCACCTAGGGTGTTTACCTAGTCTTAAACTGGTCAGTGGGCTGTGTTTGTTGATGAGCTGCAGAAGGACATTCTTGAACTGCTCCCATTCATAGTTGGCATTGCCCGTAAACAATGAGCCCCAGTCGAGACCGGATAAGTCTGCCCTCATTTCATTGATGTCGCTCCGCCAAACATTGCGTCTTTTTTGGTCCGGAGTATGTGAAATGGAGAATAACAAATAATCCCACAGGAGCACTACATGGCCACTTCGGACAAGGGGCGGCATGGGAACGATCTCGTCTATGCTGTGCGGCACTTTCGCTATAACCAGATCCAGGCATTTTGCACTTTGTCCTTAAAGTGTTCTCGTTAGAAACATTCCATGCTGTGTGAGGGACGCCTATAATGTTTTGTTCGGCAGATGGTTATCAAGTGTCGATTTTGGATCTGACACTTGGAGGTGTCCCAGTTAACTTCTGGTGCGTTAAAGTCGCCCATGATCATGGTGTTGGATCGACTGGAAAATTTATCCAACTGATCGAATAGTTGGGTGTCGGCGATTTGGTCTGTCCTAGGTGGTCGGTAGGCAGTGAGGAGATCGAGACTAGGGAAGCCAGTAGCCTCGATGCTCAACCAAATAGTTTCCCTGCTGCATGCAAACTTGTTGGTGTTTTCCGACACTGTCAGGCCTTCATTCACATACATGACCACACCACCACCCCTGACGATGTTTCCTGTCCCTCCGATGAACTTGATATCCAGACAAGGTCATATCGCTATCGCTAATATTACCAGACAGTCAGGTCTCGGTTACTGCTAAAACATCTGGAGAAAGTTCGAAAAGGCAAAGTTTTAGCTCGTCTAGTTTTGATACGAGGCCTTGGGCATTTGTGTACAAGCACCTCAATTTTGCAGCAGCCGAATTTCTGGTTGCATTTGCGACTTTTTTGAGCATTACTTTGTTATCTCGGACGCCACTTTCTCTGGGTCCTTCCGTTGCTTGATGGGTCCCATTTATGTTTGTTGCCTCAGTCAGAACACTGGACGTTAAGGGCTGACCTGTGTTGTCGCCTCAAGCGGCTGGTTCCACGAAGATGTCTGTGTTGACTGAGTAGGTGCCGTCGTTCTTAGTATAACTGGCTGGTTCCACTGAAACAACATATTTTTCCGAACCACTTTCCTCTCGAAGATAGCCGGATTGTATTCGCACCCCTCCAGTCTCGATTTTAACTCCAAGACGAGTTCCCGGCGTTTCAGCCGTCTCGCTGGAAGAGCTCTTCCGTACGTGAAGAACGTCTCGGAAGCCGTCAGTCGTCTTCTCACTCCACTTGGAGTTGGGGTTGCACACAGGCCGGAAGCAACCATTAGGCGCCAAGTCATGAGGCCAAAAGAACCGCTGCCACGGCAGGAAACGTCTGAAGTCGTTTACCGGATCTGGTGTAGTTGCGGACAAAGCAACTACGTCGAAAAAACTGGGAGATTACTCCGTACGCGAATAGTTGAGCACGCAGCAGCAGTGAGGCGGGGAGACGCTAACTCTCAGGTGGCGGCACACTTGACGAGACCCGGCCATATTTTCAAATTTCAAGAGGCCGCAATCCTCGCAAGGGGTGACAACCGCGTGAGCCGCGAATTGCTCGAGTCATGGTTCTCAGGCCTGCAATCCATCAACAAGCACAATGACCTCCCGGTACCATATTCCGTGCTGAGATTTTCCTTGGGCATCGGAATCAGTCACGTGATGAGGGCGCGGGCGAGCAATTATCACAGTGACAGTAAGCCAATTTGCCGAGCAATCGTCACACCAGCATCCGGCACGGATGACGAAATTACGGCAATTAACGACTCGGATTCGGACTTACAAGCCACCACCGCATCAATTACGACCCCAGCGGTGGTTGCGAGAACTGTTAATTGCAGTGCGCATACGGTCCCACGGCGGCCACGTGCTATGAATACTGCACTCCCTGTGCCACCTTCACCTTAATCTGCGAATGTCTCTGATGATGGATTCGAGTGAAAATCCGAAACGTCAGATCAATAAATTTCTTGTTCCAATGATCGCATCTTCGTCTTCTGAACTGCTACCTGGAACTCGCCTGTTTGCTTCTATCAACGACAGCGTTAGTTGCGGAGGTAAATTCTTGCCGGAAGATCAATGCATGCGTAAACTATCCAATCGTTCTAGCATTGATCTATGAGAAGCGTTCTCTGAACCGAGGTCAGAATTCGGTTTCTCTGGTTTTTTTGTGCGGTATGCTTCGAGACGAACGATCACCTTTACTGATTTACCTGACTGTTTGGCAAAACCCAAACAGCAGTGAACCAGTTAGAACATACCTGCTAATAACAGTTACAGTGTAGCTATGCTGGCTTAGTAAATGAGAACGACAGTCGTGTTCTGTGATTCTTTATGTGTCATGCTGGTACGTAGGTCGCTGGAGACACTGAGTCAGCAATACCTGAAATTAGAAACTCTGGGGCGACGTCGGGTCTCTGAATGTTCTGACTTTTAACTCTGTTTATGATCAGACTGCTTATAGAGAAATTCAGTCATTATGTATCTCTTGAGAACTGTAACCGACAGAATTATTTGCTTATCTGGAATAATCTTGTAAGCTATAAGTTCGGTCCTGTGCCCGCCCTTAACGTTTTTATGCTCTAGCAGACACCTGATAGTTTCATGAGGATGAGTTGTTAAAATTAAGGGTGGACTGCAACAGCTATAGCGCTTAACCAATACTAGTGAGAGGGTATTTTTGACTTGCCTGTGGAAAAGTCCCGTGTAAAGATAACTGTTGATCAGCAAAGCTGCTGTCCCACTTCATTTCAGTTGCCCAGAGTCCTTTCATTTTATGTAAACTTCTTAATATTTATCTGGCCAAAAACCGCACAATGGACCGTTATTAACTTAGTTGCAAAAGACTTTCACTGTTTTTAACTAGGTATTAATACACTATGTACAGATTGGTGATTTTTAGATGAAAACTTAACCAGAAGGCAAAACAGCGATAAACCTACTGATTCGATAGCGCAGGAAGACCTCAGTTAATTCTTCATTTCGAGTGACATATTCGCAAGAAAAAGAGTCCTTCTTCAGGACGTATGGATTAGCATAGTAGGTTCATCCTGAGCGTAAGATGCAATTATAAAGACAGATCAACATGTGAGTTTTCGAGCTCATTTTGTGGCGCTTGGTCGACGAATCTCAGATTACTGCGTACAAACCTAATTCATTGGAAGCATGGTGACCACAACCGATTAGATGTAGTAAATAGATAGGCGGTGAAGTTAGCCAACTGCTTGAAAGCCCTAGATTTTTCCTTTCTCCAAAGTTAAATTAAGGATTTATGTTGTTAGGGACTGCACAGATTTATGCAGTGTTTCCCTTGAACTGACAGAGATAAATCATGTTCTCAACGACCACTATAAATCGAGAGAAAACTAATTTCAAATGGACATGAGAGTTACATTTCTCTGCCACCAGAAGTTTGGACATAAATTAAACTACCCAAACACTGTCTCGGCGGAGAACCTTAAAAGAGTAAGCAAGAAACGTGGTGCACTGCTTTTTGATAACTGTCAGTTCATACAGTACCTCTTATAGACTGGAGTTCAGCTTACGCATCCGGTCCAGGCCATACTTTCGACTGACCTTGGTTAGACATGACGCTCAGGTTAATTTTCACTCAGCTCGTCTCGTTTCCGATGAGGGTGCGCGAACGGCAACATTCAAACTGCCTGGATCTGGTCCTTATGAAATCGCTGAACAGCTTTCATGAGCTGCATGTCTACCCGTAGTGGCCGAGGTTACCAAGGGTAACACACAGCCATGTGACGAAACACTGGAAAGAGATCCTGGCTAAAGTTGATCTGAATAGGGTCGTTAGTAAATCACGATACTCAGCCGCACATAAAGGAAGAAGGAACGTCCAGTGGGTGAGAAGGTATAATGGACAGAAATGGGAATTGGAAAGCCGTACAAGAGTAGTTGATCGTACAAGTAGAACGAGTTACAACTGTAGAGTAACCTGTCTGGGTGGAGAGGCGATATCGACACGTCATCTAATTAACCGGTGGGCATCTGTGGGCAACTGCAGCGAAGTGCCGAGGGAGGTTCTGACGTAGCGAGAGGTAGAACGATACGAGCGTCACGGTACGTTGCGGGAAAAGGGGTCGGCGGAAGTGAGACAAAGGGACACCGGCCATCTTCACCAGTACGCGGTTACGCCATCTCCATCCTAGGTCTGCGCGCCAAGAAATGTTTCCTCATTGAGACAACTCTATCGAGGTCGTGAGGTCGAATAGGCCAAGTCGTACTGTTGTATGAGCGCTCCATTATTTCACCGCCTGAACAAGTCGCGGAGTTAGAAGGAATATTTGCCTGAATATTTGAGGAAGGGGCCTTGCCTGGTTTGTGTAGACTGATTGGGAAAACTGTGAAAAATATGCAGCTTTATTCCTGCTATCAGAAATCTCAACGTCATCGAAGTTCCTGATAAGGTGCTTTGGTGTCTGTTCCTTGTTCTTTTTCTGAGGTGCTTGAAGAGTTATTTTGAGTTCTGTGTTGGTTTTCGTATCTAATTCTTCTCGAATTCCCGTCGCGTTTTTATAAACATGCTTCTCAGTTCGTTCCTCTGTGTCTTGTAGGTGTTGAAGTAATTAGCATGCCCATTGACGCAGAATTTCCTCCACGACTTATACTTCCTGTTAAATTCATTCTTTATGTTGCTTTTTAGCCGCCCAAGCCGTTTGTCCTGCCAAAATCTGATAGACCCTAGGAATGTTTGAAGTGCACGAGTCTTTATAGTTGCTTTCCGGTGTTTGGAGCAGGATGACTGTGGCCTCTTCTATTCTTCTTACTGATGTGGTTGCGAAAACGAATGTAGAGACTAAACCTACTGTCACTGTGTCGATCTTGCCGGAGGGGCGCCAATCCCTTCTGCACCTTTAGGCAGCAGTCTGGTTGAAATGTTGAAGTTTGACTGTTTAAAGACAGTCTTCATTAACGATTTAATAAAGCCTGCTTACTGAGGTAAACCGATTGCGCAGGTTGAATCTGCCTATATCGAGCTAAATACGAAGTTGGAAGGTTTCCATCTGTTTTTGGCCTTCAAATCATTCGAGGTAATGGGGCATACTGGGGCATCGGTTGTAGCGGTGGTGTTGTCGGTTAACCAGCCAATCATCTCTCCAGCTACTTTCGTAGATATATTGCATCGTAATTTTCGTCAGGATCAGACCTTACCCTGAGAACATGCGGTCGCCTTCCCTATAACAACTGACCAGACACTTGCAAATATTCAGACTGATCCCACAATTACGACTTTGCCAAAATGGTTGGCGTTGTTTGAAAGTGTCCATTTGTATGTCTTTTAGTCAGTATGCTTGGGAAGGCATCAAATTCTAAGCAAATAAAATTACCAGGAACTCAATAAGCGTGGAAATAAGTTGGCGTGTTCGATTTCGTCCTAAAACATGTGAAGTAAACCCACTTGACCTGCTTAAAAATTATTTATTCGATTCTTGTTTTATAGCAAGATTTATGACTCAGTGTTTGTGCTGAAAATACGGCTATTTTGTGACCGCATTTGGCTAGGTTCAAAGTGATTATGCAAAGAAGACTGCATCGCCTAATGCCTTCTGACCCTGCGGGGACTGAGGGGGCTTTGACAGGAGCTAAAGGGGGATATGGCGCGGCATGAGCGAATGTGTCCCCCTTTGCCCCCCCCCCCCCAACCAACATACGCAGGGGACCTCCTCTTTGCTGGCTTTTGACTCCCTCTTATATTGGATCTGTCACCGTAGGTCCTGGACTACCGTGTAACCTCAAAATGTAGCATATCTTACACCAAAACCTCATGTTTGGGGTAACACCGACCGATTAATTGCACAAGCAATCGCCAGTCAAAACTCAGCACGCAGTCCCTCGTGTCGTACGACATAAGACACCTGATAGGAAGTAGCGGAGAACTGTGACTATTGAGGAGTCACAAAACGTTAAACACAAAAGACAACTATTTAAAAGTACTTTATGCACGGGAATGTTGTCCGGGATCAGGATTCATCTTAGATATCCGTTTCAGTTGCCCCGGCAGGTTCCTGCACACAAAGAAAACTGCTTGTATGTCGCATGTTGCTCAGTTATTTCAAAAGTATAATGTGTACATATTCGTCTAGTTGAAATTGCAGGCATTCAATCGGTCTGCACTTGCGGGAAAATTCGGCCGGCAAACACCGACAGCTTTTTTAATGGGGACGTTCACGGAGGTGGAAAACTTATTGGCTCCCAGTCGCCACAAATGCAACATCTACCGCATGACACCCAGGCACACTGAAATTGAAACTCAACGTAATCCAAAACG